CTATCCTATGTATGTGGGATTTGCGTTCGTACGATAAGGTTAAACAATCATTTGAGCCAATTGCAAACCGGAATTTCTGCACATCAAATTCATCGTCCATTAATCGCGTCATTAAACTTACATCTGTTCGTAATTTTCAGTTGTCATTTACTCGAACGTAAGCCATTGTGCTCTTTTTTCTTTTATCTTTATTCATTTTCTGATCTTTTCTAGCAATGAAAAATTTTCCTGCATCCTTCTACTTTTTAACGCAAATCAGACAATCGAGATAGATAAGAATTGAGTGACTTTGGAGTTGCTTTCGAGGGGCACATAAAATTTCAAACTCCCAATAAGTCACCAAATTTTGTATCAATTAAATAGGAAAAACTTTTTCTTTCTGTTATTTGACGCTAAATTTTGAAAAATTCCAATTAAAAATTTTTAAATCCTTGAAGAATTTTCATTGTAATAATATTAAAGTCCGAACAAAATATTCAAAAGAAAATTAATTTTACAATATTTTAATGTAAATTTAATAACACTATTTTCACTTCGTCTCATATATGTAATCAATTCTTAATTTCGAGCACTTACGTAATATTCAACATCTCATAAATATTGCGACAACTTGGGAATAAATTAATCAATTGAAATGAATTTAAAATACATATATCATCTTAAAATATTATATATACGTATTATATAGTATAATAATTTTCCAATGAGATTAACAATTAACTGACTATTTAAGCTAACATTTTAATCTATAACAAAGTTGCCTCTGTATCTGCGTATTAATATTCCTCCATTTTTGACGCTGAAATTGTCCTACTCTTATTCCTTCTGGGTAAACTCGATATTTACGCATTTGAAAAGGGGAATTGCGACGCGCAAAGCTTTTAAAATAGAAATTCTTAATGCGACTAATCCGCGGGGAAGCTCGAAGTGCAACGATATCGATGCACTTTCAGAGGGATGTGACTCGACGTGCGTCGCCGTAAAGTCGTTGAACGACGTCCCGATGGCCCTTCGTGGGCGCAAGTAATCCTCGTAGATTGGCGCGGCACAATAATTCGTCTCGTATCGGCCTCGTGGGGCTGAACCCGGGGGTGTTAAACGAGCGATATTTTTTCTCCGGAAATAGTAGCGTCGGTCGCTGCTACCGCACCTGTCCTACGATCTATCTAACGAGAGGTCTGTGCCAGTTTTTAGCGGCTTCCTTTTCCCATTCTCCGCTTTTAATCCTGCAAATATACAATAAAACCGGCGCGTGGGCCCGAAATTATATGAAGATTGTCAAAAATTATTAACGTCACATTTTAATGCAATACCGATATATTATATATATTTTCACGCGCGCGATGTGAGAAAGATCGTCATTGATATTGGCATTCTTGATAATATGATAATATTATTGATTTTATCTCATTACGCTTTTTATTTAATTCGACATTCTCAAGAATTTTAAATTTTATTGCTTCTTCATTCTGTTTATCATAATCGATTTCCCGAATGATAATGTCCAGACTGATTCCCGTCGATCCAATTCGATTTGATAGCAAAGAGTATTATCTTACGGATCAATGAGAGATACTTTCTTTATACATCGTTAAAATAAATAGCACAGCTAAAATCGCAGTAATTGCATATCATCGCGACATCCCAAAGAATGAGGTAGAGAAACAGACGCGTTATATCCGAGAAAATGTCACATTTGCGACACTCCTCTCTTCGTAGAACATGTTTTCCGCTGTATAAGTATTATTCAAAATGAAAAATTTGAGAACCTTACGGCGAGCTCCTAACATTGCACACGTGGAATCTTGATTGTGAAATATTCGTGCGACGTAGAGACAGCTCTTTATACAATCATCTAGTTTACGCGACAGATTCGCGCTGGTAGGGAATTAATGATACATATCATAACACAAGGTTTCTCGTTTACATTCGCATGGATGTTCAAATATTTAACAGTGCTCACGTATTTGCTCAGATACGTTGCATTGTTGGTATAACACTCTGCGGCTGCATTTGGCTCTTTGACAAAATAATCTCGCCCGAGGACTCTTTTTATTTGTACAATTTGCCAATCATCCAACGATAACGTCATTTCAAGCACGTATCCAACATTTTTCAAAAAGAAAATGAGATGTAAAGACGAAAATTTAACTATTTTATTTCGCATTAATGTTCATAATGTTCTTTATATATGATACGCTATATAAGAATCAGCATGTTTTCTTAATAAAGATTTTTTTTACAAAATTAGAAACAGTAAATTAAATCAATCAAAATTAATATTGGACGCTAGTGGTGAAAATAAACTTGGCAAAATTGATTTTGACGTAACTAGCAATTTTATTCAATACTTTCACGACGTTTCGACCATTTGGTTGTGGTCCTTATCAAATAAGAATTCTATAACACAATATTACACAATAGTTTTTAACAATGTTGAAACATACAAGAACATATTTAAATGTTAAGTTATGACCACAAACACAAACATACCCATCAATTAAAATGAGATTAACGCAACATAAAACCGATCTTATTTAAAATTAATAGTTAAAAGAGGAACACGTTCCATCGCTATGATGTTTCGTCAACGACTAAATTTGAAACGCACACTGAAAAAAAAATTTTGTTGGATTAACAAAAATTCTGTTTGAAAATGGACGAAACGGAATTCTGGTTGAATCTACCAGAATTCTTTTTAATGCAACAAGAATCTACCAGAATTCCTTTTAATGTAACAAGCATCTTGTTTGTACAACAAATCTGTTTGTTGGTGCAAACAAGATATTTGTTGTATTAAAAGGAATTCTGGTAGATTCAACCAAAATTCCGTTTCGTCCATTTTCGAACAGAATTTTTGTTAATCCAACAAAATTTTTTTTTTAGTGCACCACTAAACAATCTTTATTATTTTGTCGTAAATATTTGTCAAATTCTCAGTGTTTTTCTGTAGGTTAACAGTATTATCATGCTTCTTTATGAAGAACATTTCAGCAATCTCTCTCTTTCTTACATGTTTCTCATTATGTAAAATGGTCGGTGATTTCCAATTAAAGTCATGTCCAAAATCACATCTGTGTTTACTCAAAACCGAATGATTAGACTCATGTAATTTAATATTGCTAGTATGTTCCTTCACTCTAGTGCATAAATGTCTTTTCGTTTGTCAATGTATGAGGCATTACAATTTTCACAATTAATCTTGTATACTACATTCGTTTTTATATCATTAGTTATTAAATCTTTACCTCGTTTTATCAATCTATTCAACAGTAAATTAAAGTTAAAAAACAAAAATAAAATTATATAGACATTTGAACTAAAATATATAATCTTTGTTAAATTTATAGATGTTTTAAATTCATAATTCTTTATTACGTACAACGGTGGCAAAGTGAAAACTTCGTCGCCGGAAGCGGATGCTGTAGCACGTTGGTTATACGCCTAATGGAACATGGAAATGCATGCGTGAATAACTGTACGTTTTTTATCGTGAAAAATGTCGAAAATTACGTCGCTGCAGAGTATACGGTTAGAAATTAATTCGATATGTCGTGAAATACATACATACATGACTCATTGCGGTACGCGGATTCATTGTTTTCCATTGGCGAAAGTAATCCTCGGCGATGACGGATATAATATCGAGAGATGAGCTCGGAGCTGTATATATAGGAAAAAAGTCGGGTCCTCTAATGAAAGCTCGTTACCGATGACATTCAATTAAGCGCATCACGGACATGTATACTACTACAGAATCTTCGGCGTATTCTTCCGAAAGAGATGACAGCAAGAAAGGTACGACAAACACGAAATAGCCATGAACGGAGGAAGGTGACAAGATACTATGAGATAGCGTAAACAATTGCCAGTACAATTAGGAAACGTTTGTCCGCCTATGTTTGCCGAAGGATCCGTAACCAGCTTGAGTAACGCCTAACTATTTGCCACTAAGGCGACTGAGCAACGAGGCTGGTCGGTCATGCGGAGAATTCACGGATGGTTTATGATGCAGGATAGGGAGACGGCAGAAACGCACGCGGAGTAACAAGAAGAAAAATCGATAACGTTGAGTGAGACGCGACTCGATTTACTGGTAACAATAATAGTATTCTCTTCTTATCGTTACGACGTTATGCAATTTAGCGCGAACTGATTTAAATCTTATCTCGCGAACGTTATCGTGAAAATCAACTTTTAATTGAAACTTATCGAGAGTTATCTATAGATTATACATATATAAAAATTTATATAAATTTTATTTTAGTTACTGTCATGTGTATACGTCGATTTATTTTTGTCTGTTATCTACGACTACGATAGACGTAAGCGCTTAGGCCCGTTCTACAATACGTCGTATGTCGCAATCGGATGTCGGAACGTAAGCGATTGTCCAATGAGGCAATTTTATTTTTGAAATAGAAATTTTCTCATTGGACCATCGCTTACGTTCCGACATCCGACTGCGACATACGACGTATTGTAGAACGGGCCATATACGTTTAGTTCTCTGTCATAGGTTTTACGCTTAATCAACCAAATGTTAAATCCCAGCAAACATCGATATATAATTGTTACATTGCTATAATAAAACGGAATATAACAGGTAATATAACGTGTACGTTACATGTAACATCCATGTTAATTGTAATTTCCCACTCATAGATGTAACATTTTAATATAACATATATTACATTGTAGTTATATTGTAATTATATACCAAATAGCACATTGATGTATTGATAAGTCAGTGCTATCTTGGGATATAATGACAATATAACTACAATTATGTAATATATGTAATATTAAAAATGTTACATCTATGAGTGGGAAATTACAACTAACATATACGTTACGCATGTAACATGCTTGAGTATATAACATTTATATATTGTGTTTGCTGGGATGATTCTCTCTCTTTCATTCATATAAGAATGAAATAATCGCGCGCTAAATTATCTTGGCGTTCAATTTGCGTGAATTTGCTCAATCTATAAAGATCACAAACAGCGAGACGACCAATCGAAGTAGTGGCGACCAGGACAGATTATACCATCGCAAGTTGCATTCGGTGCAGGGATGAAGTTATTGGCGTACAGATCCTGGGTATCCAGGGTCGTGGAGGAACTTGGCTCGACGTACGGTAATTTGATATCGGATAACCATTCCTGTCGTCGGCACAAACCGACGTGAGCCTCCGAAGGCACACGCGCACGTCGGGCCTTGTTGCACGTCCAGCGAGCGTCCTGCGGAAAGCGCATTAACTTGCGAAAAGGACGCGCGCGGATGGAAACCGCTCTGCCGGATTTATCTACCGACCCGTCGCGTTGTCGCACTTCCCGATAAAAGCTGGCAACTAAAAGTCAGAATTTTCATAGCCGTTCTAGATAAACTCTCCGCGGAAATGGCATTCGCGGAAATTTAATTACTTTACTGGGCAGATTAACGCCAATGCGAAATCTAGATAATGTATTTAGAAAAAGTTGATATCGCACTAATAATTATTCGAACGAAGTGACGCGACATCATCTCCGTAATTACTTCCAGTTGTCAAGTTTTTGACAGTTCTGATTATACTCGAGAAACCTGTTAGGAGTCTGTGCGGATAAAAGCACACCGATATTTTATTTATAGGTATTTTATAATTATTATCTATCATTGATTCTCACATTATTTTCTTCTTCCGAAATCTTTATTTCAAGTTCAACGTCAGTGTCATATATGCGGAAACGCGCGATTTTCAAAAAGAGCTTGTGATTATCTACATGACATTGCAGGATACTCGTAGAGAAAAATTTAATTTAACTCACAATCAGCGTAGTCGTTTTCAACATACGAATATGCATGAACGTGTGCGTGTCGATGTGCACGTAATTATTTTATCTGTCAGTTTGCGCATAGTTAGTTAATACAAATTTCCCGTCAGTCGGACAATCCGTTTTATACTTGGCAGGCTAGTTCTCCATCTCGAGAAAAAAAATAGCTAATGATGACAAAAAGCTCTCACAAGTCGGACGAGACAAAAAGGCAAGAGAGCTTTTGTTCTTAACTTCCTTCATGATCCTTATTATCTTTCGCAATCTCTAACTTTTAATCGGTCGAGTTTATTATTTGTCGCTTTTTGTTTTCTTCGAATATGATTAAATCATGTTTGTTGAGTTATTACTTTAATAGAGCAAATGCAAAATTCGAGACGAATCGCTCGATTCATTCCTTCTTTCAGTAATAATTTCTTTGTTTTACAGAAATGTTGGCTTTAATAATATATCTTTGCTAAGTGATGTACTTTAATATCTATAATATTGAACAGCAATGTTCAATTGTCACTTAACATTCAAAACTAGTATAGGATATTTTCTTGCGGTTCACCACACTCTCTTGCAATACCCTGTATATTATTTTATCAAGTCAAGCTTATGATACTATGTATGCAAGCGAGTTTAATCAGCAAATTGCATTGAATAGCAAATTGAAATTTCTTAGCTGCGCATAAGCAATAAGTGAAAATTTAGCATCGTTGTTTGAATACCTGAGAAGTATGACACGTCACTTATATAGATGATATATATCTAGGCTTGGAAGCTGAAACTGCGAGAATTGATGACACAATATCTCAGTAGCAAACTTGCTGTATTATCTATTTCATTACGTATGGCAGTCTTAGCAGATCATTAGCTTGTAGAGCGTTATTAAATTTATGCTAGCTAAGAAAGTTGACAAGAAACGCGACAGTCGATAATCAATAGTCCTTCCAATTGTACAATTTATGATGTAGGCATGTAGACAGAATGTTGACTAGTTTTTAATGTCATAATTTTTACATAAATATGTGAAACATAAATTTAGTCAAATTAAAACAACATATGCTAAATAGATCCCAGTAAGAAATCACTAGTTAAAAAGACGTCGAATCAACGTCTTTTACACCAAACTTGGTGATTCTTTACTGAGATTAAGCTATTGTTAAAGATCTCATATATTGCCGTTGAGTATAAATTATTTTTAATCGCAATTTAATTTCCTAATTAATCTGATTAATAATTTATTATTTTAATTTTATTTTAATCACAATGTTAGCGTAAAAACCTATTAACAGCATTATAAATACATACATATATCTCTGATATAAATTTTTTTCGATTTTTACAGAGAGATTATAGTGAATTGACATTATGTATAATTCATCCCTTTTTAATTTAAATATAATCTTATGCCAAAATGTGAGTCAGAAGACGGATAGGTAAACAGTCGAGAAACTTTTTGTTATCGCTTTAGACGATACTTTTACTTTCAAATTGCATCCGATTCTCATTTCCACACTGTTGCAATGAGGAACAGATACATCATGTCGTATCGGAGGAAACCATCAATGCTGGAACCAGGAAGCCGTCCAAAGTTCTCTAACGATGATATATCGGGGTAACACAGGACCCCTAAGTTGTGGCCATTTTGATATGGTGTAACGTACTCTCCTTCTCCTCATCCTTCTCCACACGCACACTCTTTCTTGCGCTATCCCTAGCAGGAGAGGCATTAAGCCCTTTTCGGCCCTTTGGAGTTGATGTTACGGTGACCGTGACAGATCGCCCGTCATAATCCGGCGCCATAAAAAACATATCGGCGATCGAATGACCGTTCAAAACTAGTGCATCCCATTTTTCGATCAAATGCCCGATGTACATTATCTTTCTAAGATGACACATACGATTTTTTATACATATATATATATAACGAAATTATCGAATATGAGTGATTTATTTATCAAAATAGAATTGATATCTCTTCTTAATACAATATATTATAGTAGACAATTAAAAGAGAATATATTCTTTATTATAAAATATTAGTCTTTTTGAAAAATTCATTATTCTAATATTCTCTTGCATAAATATTTTATAAAATATTTATGCAAGAGAATTTTATAATAAAAAATTTTTCAAAAAGATTTACATTTCATATAATAAAAGATATATTTTTCTGTCACACAATAATAAAAAAATGTTAATTGTCTACTTTAATACCGTATTAATGTATATATAGACAGTTTTTATCATTGATTAGAAGCTTGAAAAATAATAACGCGTTGCGTTAGAAAAGACGAGATTCGATAGCCATCAGCTCAGTGCACAGAAATTTTCACAAAATTGTGAATCGATCGATGGTGGGTCAACGGGGACCTGTCGAACTAGGTTTAGTTTTTTTCACAACGCTTGTCTATACTTTCGTATAGACGAGCACTTTCGTACGGTGATTTGCGACACTCTATCCCAGCACCCTTTTATGCTGTCGCTCTTAGTTGACGGAAATGCATGGCGCATTACAATTCATCTCCGACTTCATCGTCGTCGGTCGACAGAAATTTGCTGCGTAACGTCTTTCACTTCCCTGACCATTTAATCCGTAATGGAATAAAACATCGCGTTACTAAGTATTCTGCTTATATTTCATTTGCTCTTTCACGTTAATGAAGCGTGATGTACCAATAACATTTCCCTAATTATTATAAAAACATAACTGACGTTAGGCTGCTAAAATATTATCAAACACAAAAATTAAAATCTTTTACATACATTTTATAAATCTGAAGAAATCTTTATAACTTCTACGCTGTGCGAAAAAAAATTTGTTAACTTAACGAAACCGTTCAACTAAATTACCATTTTGTTAATTGAATATATATATATTAGTATTGAAATCAAATATACGTTTTGTTACTTTTAAAGTGTTATATTTAATTTAAATATTTTATATGTTCAATTAACAAAATAATATTTAGTAGAAAAATTTAATCAAGTTAACACATTTTTGTTTTAGTGTGCAGAGATTAGTTTATTGCTATTAAATATAATTTGTTTCAATAAAAGTTTCGATAAAAAGAGATCATAAATATTGAAATCATAGAGTATTAAAATTTAAATAAAATGTTATAAATGTTTTTCTCTTTCTTTTAAGTATACCAAATGTCAAAATCTGTTGCTTCTTATTAACAAGTAAATCTAGTCTAGTTATACTCTGATTTTTTTCAAATTTGGCATAAATGTAGAATTACCAAACATATTTGACTCTTATTATTATTTTATTTGTGCCCATAAGCGCAATGTCAATTTTATGAATAATTAGTACTCCTTCAATATTCAACTCTACCATTATACATATAAATTTCATATACCGATTATATACCGATGTGAACCTGGCGCCCGACTTAAAAAAAAATGTTTTTAATATAATTTGTTTGTACCTCAATTATACCTGCTTGTACCGTTTGATTTTTCGTTTTACCTCAAAGGGTTATAAGATACCGGGGGTTAAAAAAATGGTCAGCGCTTAACTTTAAGATATTTTATTTTCATTAACGGCATTCGAAAGAGAATCGTTTGTATCCGTTTCTACCTCCTTTCAAATCGTTTGTACCTCAAAAGAACTGGAAGTACAGGCATTTCAAAATTCGCGTAAGGGGTAACTTTGTCATTTTTAAAGATATTCGAAATCTGCAAACCGGTACTGTTTTCGAATTATTTATACCCGTTTGTATACCTTTCTTCAAATCGTTTATACCTTGAACAGACCGGAAGTACAGTCATTTCAAAATTTGACCAATGTCTACTTTCGGTCCTTTTGAGGTACAAACGAAAATTAAAGAGGTACAAACAGGTACAAACGATTAGGAAACAGTACTTTTTCTTTATATTCTAATTGATTAGTTATATATAGGAAGCTTTTAGAATATACTGATTGTTTTCCTATTTCAGTATATAATGGATTTCTATCTATTTTTTGAATATTTTGTTCATGTTGCAACATTGCAGTATAAATTTTATTTTGCTAAAATAGATTCGACATTTATCATTAGAAAATAGTAAGAATAATAAATAATAAAGAGGCAAATAAAATGATAAGATAATTCTTTAATATTAAAATTTATCATGTTGATTGGAAAAAGTATATAATATAATCTTCCTGAAAACAAATTTAATGACAAATGTTTTAAAATACTTTTTATTGTAAGTTACAATTCAGATTTACACATTTTGCAGTATTTTTAGGTTTATTAAAAATATCAGCAAAAACGCCGCATTATATATGTTGTACAATGTTAAAGTTATGGAGTATATAATTGATCTAGGAAACTATCTACATAAAACAACAATATAATGGTTTAATACTTTAATAAATGCAACAGAAGATTGTAAATTTTTGGTTTCGTCTTACTTTCCGTTACTTGATTCTATTTTTAATACACAAAACAAGGAAAACTTGATTGTCGTTGTCCTTTAGTCGCTTATTATTTAGAGATAAAAATACCGCGTCTCAAAAAATTCTGTATCATTGTCCATTCAATACACAGGTGTTGCTGCAAAGTAAACATGGCTATAATTTACAAAAAATTTGACACTTATACTTATTGAATAGTTTTTTAATGTCTGACTAACTACGAATTTATTTCTCTACGCCCTGGACTAAAGATGTGATCATTGTAAAACATAAAGGTAATTTCTACACAATTTTTAACATAATAATTTGTAAATTTATATTTATTGTTACTTATAGCGTATTGCATCGCGACTGAAGAAATCTTAAGTAAAAGCACGAAACGTTCCGCATTTAATAAATGTTACATCTAACTTTAAGATCAATGTCGTTCTAATTTTATTTTAATTTTCTGCTTGAAGAAAGACCTATAAATTACTAATTTTACGTCTATATTATTATATTATATCCAACAGTAGAATTTATTATAATATTATATGGCCACTTTCTTGTGACTGCACAGATAATAGTTGCATTTTATTTACAACAAAACTCAGATAAATCTCACTTCTGTCTTTCTTCAACATCCATGTTAAAGAAAGACAGAAGTGAGATTTATCTGAGTTTTGATGTAAATAGAAAGCAACTAATAATACATTCAACTACTTTAATCAAGATCGCAAATAAAAAAAAAATGAAAAACTTGATGCATGCAGTCATAAAAACTTATAAATATAGAGGCATCGAATATAGTAATACATCTAAATAAATAATAATTAAACCAGTAAAATAAATAGTACATACAATATAAAAAATTATTCATATGAAGTTTATCCACGCATGCAAAGCTGCAATTTTTTATATCCGATGGAAAATACTTTTATAATATTGTCTCTGTCTTTCGATTTGAATCTGGCGAATTACTATCTTGTTTTCAATTTTGTGAGAATCCAACACTACGAAATCCTAATATATATAAACAAAGATTTGCACAATGAAATTAATATATGGTACTGTTTATATAATAAACAAAACAAATATAAATATAAAATTAATATTCAGAAATTAATAAGAGAAATAGAACAATATTTTTTTTTCTTTTGCTTTTCATAATATTTATTAAATATACCTCTTCTTTTATTTTACCACAAAAGTGTGTATTGCGCTTCAATTGTTGAACGTAATTGTTTAATTCCTAAAATGTATTATTTTTTAACATCAATAATAAACAACGTTATTATAACATTATCAAAATTATTTAAACATTAAATAATAATTATTAATATCGCATTATTATTACATTTTGTATACATACATATATAAACATGTAAAATTTTTACCTGAATTAGATTTACGGAATATACGTTATTAATAATAGTAATAAATGCTGCAGTTATACCAACATCTCTAAAAACGAAAAAACAAATGTATATATAAACACATAATACATTTTTGTACAAAATATTTATAAAAATGTTACATTACTTTGGTTTTATGATAAAAAAATTATCTAATATGTACAGCAGAATAGTTGGATTCTTCGCATGCTTCGTAATAATATGTAAGAAATTGTTAACAAGATATTGATATTCTCGTTGCGTAATATTTATATATTTTAATGTTAAATGGTCCTTAATTATATTAGCATCTTGAGTGCAAGCCAAGTATTCTGAAAATTTAGTGTCAGATTTTTCCAATCCTGCATTATACACTGATTTCCAAGTCGTTTCGTTGATATTTATCATCAAACCATTACAATATGTCCATTCCTTCCACCATGGCAAAAGTCTGAAATAAAAAATATTAAATTTGTTTATTAAAAATTAGTATATAACCTTTTGATCAAATCATTTAAACATTATAAAAGATATCTACAAAGAAATTTGATTAAGAAAGGCTAGAAATATATAACAATAATTACCTGTGTGTTTCAGGGTCTTTGATATGTTGTTTTAATTTATTGTTGGCCGTTTTTTTACAAATAATGCCACCAAGAAAACATGCCCATCTTGCAGCTTCTTGTCGTAAACATTTTCTAAGTTCGTCTATATCATCAATTTCTTTATATTTAATTCTTTTAAGTACGTTGTTTAATCCCTGCATTATGCGATTCTAAAAATTGTTAAATATATATTTCTTTGTTTATATTATATAAATGTATTTAAAAATTATTATATTTTTTTTATTATATACTAATACATTCTTAAAGATTTTATGTTTTTTTTGAGATAAACATTCATTTTATCTTATCTATGTACGTACATACGCTCAAATATATAGACATACATGTATAAAAAAATGGTTTAATTTGTGCGAAATGTTTTGAATTATAACTCATTGACAATGATTTTAAGCATTCAGCTATATATCCTATAACGATGTTACATATCAATAATATTGGCAGTAATGAAAATCATAAACTTTCATAACTTTGGGGCTTGTTATTCAAGTGAGTAATTATTCAAATCTATTAATATTTACCTTAAAATGCATCATTCTTTCTTCCCACACTAAAAAAGTATTGAACATGTATTCCAGAGCTTTAAACATAGGATACCAAGCAGTATAATCTATTTCTTGTTGCAGATACAAAGTGATATCCCAGAATATAGCTGAATCGAGTTGGCCTGCTATCATTAAATGAAATGCATCATCGATAATTTGGGCACGATTAAGAACATGAATTTTCGTGTGATCATTAGTGTTTAGATAATTTGAAATTCTCCGCCAATTCTCACTATCATAGTTCACGCGATAATATCCTGATGAATAGTAAATAAATTTTATAAATATTTATTATTTTGAATAATTTTATTATTAGTATAATGTATTTATTTTCAAACATTTTGGTTTCATACTTTTGTTTATATAAATTATAAATTAATAACGTATCAAAAATTTAATACATATAAATAAAATACGAATACATATAGAAAATTGATTATAAATTAAAAATAAAACTGTGCAAAATATTGTATAGAATAAAATAAAATTGATTATAGTTGTGCATAAATTGTGTAATAATTATTTTATATTAATCAGTAATATTTCTGTAACATGTAACTTTACGAAAATTGTATGTTTTACTTGTACTTATTATTATACTAATTTTAAAAATATAATAAATAATTTTAATAAATATAATTAACTTTTTTATCATTTTTATTTTAATTAGAATAAAATATTTGTAAAAATATAACTTTAATATTGATTAAAATTATAATAGAAAACGCCGATGTATATCTTGATTATATATAATAATGCGCGCGCAGAATATTACACAAAATATTTTAAAACTATTAAAATTATAATGAATTTCTCAGATTTTTATAGGACAATGAATAAAATAAATAAAAATATATAATAATGTTAATTATGTGTGTGTAAAATAAAGACGAGAAATAAGTCTTAATAAGACCATTGGTCGATATTTACCAATTTGTTGTATATTGAATATCATCCAACCCTTTTCTTCAAATGGTAATGATATTTTTAAAACCTTCGACACGCATACCATATGATGAGTAAACTCGGTAAAATTGGGAGACGTCTGTATAGTAAAAGTTACGGGAAGGCAATCAATTTTTAATGTGTTGATATTTTGCATCAATACATTTGCTTCGTTCATAGTATCCTTATAATTTCGTATTATTTTTATGAGAGGACAATACTTTTCCAAACCCCAATATTTAAATGTTTGTAGTCCTATATCTGCCATTCTTGATTCAAAAATATGTAAAATATGTAAAAAAACATTACAAATATGTTAAAATTATACGTATAATGTTAATGTTATAAAAATTGTAATACATATTAAGAAGCAAAATATAAAATTGCACTTCTATTTATATATTTATAAATCCATTTATATATCTTGTATTTATGTTATCATAATAAATAATACAACATTATTTTAAATAAAATTTAATAATTTTATTTAATTTTTTAGGCACTATATTAACCATTAATACAGATTATATTTGAGCAAAGTATTTAAAGTGTTATAAAATGATTTAAAAAGGAAATAACAAAACAGATAAAAGGAAGATAAAGGCAAAACAAAAAATAAGAAAAATAATATAAAAGAAATAAATCTACGAGAGTAGAAAAATTAAATAAAGAAAGTAATGGAAAAGAGATGTAAGTGTTAGATATTTAAAAATCTGTTAAAAAAGATAGAAGAAGAAGAAAAGAAGAAAACAAATAAAAAATAACAAAAGATGCAATTAGAAGAAGAGAAATTATAAAAATTATAGACGATATATCGAAATAAAGGAAAGAATAAAAAAATAAAAATAATTTGAAAAATTGTTTTAAAAAATAATAAATCATGAACTAAAAATAAACAAAACAATAAATATGTATATGAAAAAATGACAAAGATAAAATAACATTTTTTTTTTACAAAAGCAATTTTGTAGTAAAAGTAATGAAATTAAATATAAATCTAGTACAGAATCTAGAAAAATATAGGAAAACTAAAAACTTATAAAACTAAAAAAAAACAAAATAATGTCAGAAAAAGCTAAAAAATAAGGGAAATTTTATAAAACTGGTCTTATTATAAATTATTATAATTTTATATAATTTTATTTTTTTTAATTATATTCTATATTATATTACTTACGTGCTATTTATATATGAACAAAATCTTTTCCAAAATATTTGGTCGTAGAAGATTTGTTGCACCATGCGCACTATACAAGGTGCTACAATTTACATAAATATTATTTAGATATATTATAAGTACATATTTACTAGAAAGGTTACATGTAAACATAGTGATTTTATAAAATTAAATTGTATATATATGTATATACAAGGTAGTAATTGCGTAACAGTGAAATGAAATTTCTCGTTAATTGTTATAAAGATAGCAAAACAATAAATGACCATTCAATTAATTTCCTCTACCTACATATGCGCGGTTATTACGGACACTATATATATATATATATATATATATATATATATACATATATAAACACACACCCAAAACAATAAGTTGAAAGGATAAAATAATCATAAAGAGAATATTTTACAGGGTATTTTATACCTTTAACACATTATTTTACGTGAACGTAAATATATCTCAAGAAATATTCATTTCTCTTTGATCTTATCTCAATAATTTTATATAAAATAATGTGAAAAATCAATATTTTTGCAAGAAAAAACTAGTAGTTGTTTTTAAAGAAAACTATGTAGCTCATAGTTGCAAATTGCATGCACACATCTATATTGTTTATATGTATATTCATATATACATATGTATATATACTTTAAGTATTAATTAAAGAATTCGCGTAAATACGCACACACATACGTACATGTGTGTGTGTGTGTGTGTGTGTGTGTGTGTGTGTACTTTTATAAAATTAATATATTATTAATCCAAATAAAGAATTAATTATCTTATAACTTTACACATATATTTTTATAATATTAATAATTAAACATTTACGCGGACAATTTTATTATATTACGTTATACCTCTTATAGATTGGCGAATTTGTAATAAACTATCATCTTGTGAAGTAGAATTCCACAAACGATAATCATCCAAATAAAAAGAATTATGTTGATGTTGAACAACAAACAAATGGACTATTCGAAATTCTGGATAAATCTATAAGCAAAAATATTTTATACCTATAAAATCGCTTTGAAAATACTTGCAATAAAAACAAATACTAATATTATTGTAAAAAGAGTTTGATATACGAAAATCTTATTGCAATATAAATACTTAAGTTTATCGTTTGCGAAAAAGTTGGAGCGAGATAGCGTTTAAAATAGAATAACCTTATGGACAGCATACGTTGCAAGTAATCTAGTATCACTGTCCTACTAATTGAGCTACTTGAATTTTGTGAGCAACAGGATGTAAATTTTTATCGTAGATGATATCTGTTTCCCTGAAAGTTGTATTTAAATGTCCAGACTGAAAAGTTATCAATAGAAAATAAAACTTTATTTTTGTTACAATTTTTTAATTTTATGGTTAAAATTACAATTTACAAACTCATAAGTACAATTTAGCAAACCTGTATCGTAAATTGTATCAAATAATGTTTTTTTTTTTTAATTTTTAATTTATAATATGAAAAAAATGATAAATTTGTGTTATGCTCATATAATTGATAAAAACCATAAATCTAAATAAATAAAAAAAATGTCATTTCTCTTATAGTTTTATTGTATATAGTTATAGTTGTTATAGTTTTATTGTAATTTTAACATTTATCTTAGGGGATACGATTTAGCATACATACTTTCCCTTTTATGTACGTACTAAATCAGTAAATTTATTCTTACTAAAATTGTTTCTCTTTAAAATTTCTCATACTTTCAGACGTTTACAGGAACAAAAGATATACTTACATGTTTTTAAATTTTATAATTTTGCATACAATAAATACAATTTTATTTTTAATGTAATTTTAAGTATTTGTACTCACCTATAAAGAACAAGTCCGAAAACTGTGTCGCTTTTGTCATAGAAATTTGGAATTGCAGCATGAGTGACGTGCAAAATCATTTTCGAATACTTCGGTATATTTTTATCAATATGCAACATGAAATTTTTAACTACATTTTTTGCAAATTCCATATAAAATTTAGATTTATATCTATACCACATTTTAATGTTTTCAGTTTTGTTATCATGAAGAAATAGATAATTAGACACAACCATTTTTGCAAGATGAGGCGACATTGCAGGTGTGGTACCGAAGTGTTTCCATACCAAATTGTTCTTATCTATTTCCGTATTTCGCATTGGCATATTTGACAAAGCCGTGCAATGAGTACATCCTATAGATAACTTAAAGATTGCGTTTAACAATAAATTGTGTTTCTCCCAACATGGAATTAATGGTCCGGCGCCTATTTTCTGGAAATGCGGAGCACCTACCCAACTACATTTTAAAGAAAATAAATTATTGAAACATTTTCGGTGTACATAAATATATTGAAAATTAAAAAATGTGTAAATGTAATATGTACATAATAATATATCCGAAAATAAAGATTGTTCGCCTTTATATTTAAATTCCACGATATATAATAACTTTTTTTGGATATTTAATACATAAATAGTATATTATTGTAATTACAATGTGCTATGTAATTACTTATTGTACTCTTTTAATATACATTTATTATTTACTTACGCAGTTAGTTTTTTTACGTTGAAAATTTTAAAGACTTCATCAGCAATACCATGATATTTTATATTTAAGATGTAATTTCGTGGTGATAACTCATTCATAAATAAAATATCAATTGTGTTTTCTATAGTATTATATGTCAGTTTATAAACTGTATCTTTATCATTCTCATGATATCTTTCAAAATTTTTAATTAGCTCTACATTTTTAACACATAATTGTTCTGAATGTAAATATATGTGTTGCGTTTTGTTAAGAATGCTTATGCTGATATTGCATTCTCCATAGAAAATATTTCCTTCAAAATATGATAATAACTTGATATCGTAATGGATTGGTGTGATATATTTTGATGATTGATCGCATAAAGATTCATTATAAGTGGAAGCCGTCGCAGCGATAAAAATTAATCCGCTACTTAATAATAGTTTCAGAAATATCATCATGTCGGCAAAGGAATTTTTATCTTAGATCTGTAAAATACGCTTTGGACAAAACATAAATAGAGAAATTAAATATAGGTTTAATGTCTTTTGTAGGCGGATAAACGATTGTGGACAAAATAGATATTTATATAAGGAGACCGGATTAATTAGTCAGGAAAGAATCCGGATCAAATAAGGAATTATAATTAGAGTATAATGTATTTATTGCGAACTCAAGGTGCCTCTTGTCGTCCAAATACTAAATGTTCCCTTGTCTCTTCGCCGTCGCTCCGACCTCGGCGGTCCTCGATCGTAAGAGAGAGTGTGTCCAAAAAGAGAGCGTTATGTGTGTGTCTCTACCAAAAATCGCTGATACTTATATCGCTCCTAATTTCCCTAATAATCCCTTCCTATCATACTTGAGCCAATCGCTAAGCGACAACTAACCCGTGCTCTGGTTTGTTTTCGAACGGTCGCATCTGTTATTTTCTACACGGATCAAATCTCTTATTATTCGCACACGGTAACATAAATATAAATAAATAATCGAACACGAGGACGAGACGACAAGGCGACAATAATATGATGGCGTGATACATACTCTCGAAAATAATCGCACGCCTACACTTTTTAAATTATTCTTGTATATAAATCAGTAATAAATAAAAATGTATTTAAATTTTTAATGGAAAAAACATCCTAATTAGCGAAATATTATATGGTGAGAAAACAATGTGCAAATATCCATTTGCACAATTTTTTAAAATAAAATTATATATATATATATACAATATATATATATATATATATATATATATATATATATATGTATTTCAGTGTCGCACATATTGTAATTGACGGCAATATAGAGATATTAAATTTACAACATATTTAAATTTTCTTTAAATTAATTGCAATGTCAAAAAGTTATTCTCATTTAAAATTTATAGAATATTATTTAGCATATAAAGATTTATAGTATATAAAGTTAGTTGTCTGAAGCAAATTATTTTTATAAACACAAGAGCTGTTATTTCTACATACATATATATCTGTGCGTACATTCAAAATAAGAAGAAAACAGTAAGGATAAAAAAAACTGAGGAGCGACAAGCGAATGAGAGAGATAGAGCACATGTTTATTATTATGTTTCTTTGAAAGTCTGTTGGATTTCTTCTATTAAACTGTGTATTGTAAACACTAAACGAATATTTGCTGAGAATTAAGCCAACATAAATTTACTTTTAAATTGTATCATTTATAAACTTGATAATAAATTTTATATAAAATGTCCCAGAATTAGCAGTAAACCTTTTGGAAGCAATATCTGAGATCATTTAAAGACGATTTTTCCTCAGTGAAAATGTCGAAGTACCAATAAATTTCGAAATATAAACGATTGAAAATAAATGATTTTTTGCAAATTATACCTTATGAAAATAAAATTAGTAAAATCACATTTGTCAATTAATTTTAAATAGAGTTTACTCTTATTAGAATTTTAATTTAAGGTTTAATTACAAAGATACATGATGGCAAATTTGGGAACATGCAAATAAATAATAGTTTCTCTGGGCATTTTTACGGAGGAAAAATGACTTTAAATAATCTCAAAAATCTATATGTTATATATATATGTATAACAAATTTACTATTATTTCTGCGACATTCTGTATATAATGCCGTATTTTTCAATATTTTAGATTAAACATCTCAAAATAGATGTGTTAACGACTGTTTCAAATCTGGAATATTAAATGTTATGGATTTCTACATTTAATTCATCATTAGTATGTTCTATCATTTATTTCTATAATTTTTAACTAATAAATAATTAACATTAAGAATATATAATTCGGCCTCCTACATAAATACAGCATATATATCTGTGCGCAACGGAAGGCAGGATCAGGATGTCGGAAGCGAGAAGACGGCGAAGCACGACACTCACAAACACGTATCGTTTAATATAACTATATTTTAACTAAAAACAAAGAAAATTACAATTACTGAAAACCGCACAGAATTTACAAAAAGTTAACGGATTAGGAGAATCCAAAAGAAATAGCCGAGTCGGTAATTAATAATTAAACGTTCCGCAAGCGACGATAATTAGACGTGGTAAAGAGAAAAAGACGAGCAATCTTTTTCTAACAATAGCAACACACTCTTGACACGACGAGCAATCGGAGAAGAGCTCCGCGATCACGAGAGAGGAGGCTTTTATAGGCCCGTGTTTCTAGAATATTCGAGAAGAATCCTATTTATTCTATCGTTTTGCTGAGGTCGAAAGAGCGTTTTGTGTAATTGTTTACTTTTAGACAATTAATCTTTTTATTGTTATCGGAACTAAAGTGTATCTCCTCTCGCGTGACCGCGGTGTTTACAATTATAGGGGATTTAACGTAAGCGCTTTCTTTTCGCAGGCGCGGGGTATACGTATACCGGTGCGGCCGAGCGCTATTAAAGCATTAATAAAAAAATGATGCATGATGCATGTTGCATGTCACGATTTGCATGAGCTTTAATGCAATAATGTTCTTAGGTCTTTTCATTTTTCAATCAGCCGTTCGATTTTCGAACATTCCGCCCGCCTTGCAGTATACCTGCAATCGAACAAGAAGTGCGAGAGAGGGGGCGCGCCTATTCACGCTCTCGCGAATGACGGGCACGTGGAGCGCACGTGCTCTGACGGATTTTGCCCAAGGAATTCCGGATCGAACAGCTGTTTATTTTCGAGCGCGGCAGTATATACGCGTGTCGGTGAGCGCATCGAGGAATACGCGACAATTTGGATTGTGATTTTAACCGTGATTGAGTATGAACGAATAGTGGAGTGATAAGAAGATTGCAGCGATGCAAAGAGAGGAATAGTGAGTGGAATGTAGTTGTGTTTGATGTAAGTTAGTTTGGAACGGTGCAAATTAAGTGTTGATGAATTGACTAATCGCTTTGGGTTTTAGGTGGCAGTTCGTCAGCGTCGGGAAGGAAAACGAGTTTGCTAACGGGTCGGGTCAAGACAGTGGTGGCGGTGCGGACCTCGACGACGCGAACGTGTCCGTCGGCTCCGGAGAGCAATTTGGTGATGCGCGCTAGAGGCCACCTCGTTGGAGCGGTCATTTCGTGACGGATTAAACAAAGTCGACCGACGCGAGCTTCCCGGTTTATTTTGAACCATTTCGGCCGATGAGCCAGCGTGTGCAGATATTCGCGAGACCATCGAGACCAGAAATGATCCTTCATCTTTTGTAGAAGCTGCCACCGGGAGAGGCGCGACGACGATTCCTCGGTCAGCGACGGTTCGGGGACGGCGGAGAGCGCGGAGCCGATGAGGAAATGGCCGGGCGTCAGCGCGCTGAAGTCCTCCGGGTCGTCGGTCAGCGGTTGCAGAGGCCGAGAGTTGAGGCAAGCCTCGACCTGGGAGAGGAGAGTGGCCATCTCCTCGTAGGTGAGTGTAGCTTCTCCTATCACTCTGCGAAGATGGTGCTTCATTGACTTGACTGCCGCTTCCCAGATGCCGCCGAAGTTGGGCGCAGCCGGTGGGTTGAACCGCCACTGAATTTGTTCCTGAGCAGCGAAGGAGGCGATGCGACGGCCTTCAGGGTTTGTGGCTGCGAATAAGTCTCGGAGTTGCGTGTCGGCGCCTATGAAGGTGGTCCCACAGTCGCTGTATAGCGTTTGGCATACACCTCGCCGAGCGATGAACCGACGCAGGGATGCCAAGAAGGCATCGGCCGAGTAGTCCGAGGCGACATCAAGATGGACGGCCCTGGAACCTAAACAAATGAAAACGACAATGAAGGCCTTAGAAGATTTTTGCCCGCGGCCTTTGGCACTTCGCAGCCAGACGGGTCCGGCGTAGTCGACGCCAGTATGGAGGAATGGTCTTCCTGGCGTCACTCGGGGCGCAGGCAAGTCACCCATGAGAGGCTGTGCTGTAGCCGCCCGCCATCGCAGGCATCTTACGCAGCGGTGAATGTGGGTTTTAACGAGGGATCGTCCACGAGGAATCCAAAATTCTTGGCGGATGGAACACAGAGTCAGCTGGGTGCCCCCATGCAACGATCGTCGGTGATGCTCATCGATGACGAGGTAAGTAATTCGCGACGAACTCGGTAGGATGATTGGATGGATGGCCTGAAAAGACATTTGAGAATGTCGTAGACGCCCTCCGACGCGGATAACGCCCGAATCGTCTACAAACGGGCTGAGCGTATTGAGTGGGCTTCGGTTGGGCAGTGATGTCAGTCCTCGCAACGATTTTAACTCGTCCTTGAAATTTGCAGCTTGGACGAGCCGTACCCAGTGGATCATCGCGTCATGCAGTTCTTCAGCGTCTACCCCGCCGTCGCGATTGAGAAGGATGGGCTGCCGTCGGCGTTGTCGTAACCACCGGAGACACCAGGCGGTGATGCGAAGTAGTCGCTGCAGGGACGAGTATCGGAGTAGCAGCTCCGGTTCGTCTCCTCGCTTGTCCAAGACTGCAGCGTGCGAACGGACTCGACGTTCTGGTAGCTCGACGTAGCTGGGATCTTCTCCGAAGACGGTCCAAGGGCCGCTCTCCGTTTTCAGCCAAGAGGGACCCTGCCACCAAAGTGGATGCGCCTCCAGATCTCCAGGGAAGATGCCTCGAGAGGCGCAGTCAGCCGGGTTTTCGCGTCCAGGGACATGATGCCAAAGGGCGTCGGGGAGCGACGTCTGAATTTCGCTGACCCGGTTGGCAACGAATGTGACCCAGGAAGAAGGATGTCCACGGATCCAGCCGAGAACCACTGTGGAGTCTGACCAGAGATGAAGAGGCGCCTTTTCAGCTCCGATGAGAGGCAGCGTTTGCTGAACGAGGCGGACCAGAAGAGTTGCGGCTGATAACTCGAGCCGAGGTAAGGAGATTTGTTTTAGCGGAGCAACTTTCGTCTTGGCGGCAATCAGCGTAACTCCATACTCCCCGTTCTTCTCGGTTTTTAGGTACACCACAGCGGCGTAGGCACGGACTGAGGCGTCAGCGAATCCGTGGACTTCCAGGCGGCAGTCAGTCGATCCTCCACCCAGCCATCGAGGAACGTGCAGTCTCTCCAGTTGAGGGAGCTCCGCTTGGAAGCGTAACCAGGCCTTCTCATGGTCGTCCGGAAGAGGAGTGTCCCAGTCGATGCCGAGCAACCAAGTAGACTGGATTAGAGTCTTGGCGAGAACAGTCGTGGGAGACAGCCAACCGAGCGGATCAAACAGCTTCGCTGTCAACGATAAGACTGACCGCTTGGTGATCGTGGACAACGTTGGTTGGCTGGTGGCGAAGGAGAAGAGGTCGTCGCAAGGTTGCCACCGTAATCCCAGGGTGGCATGACTTTCCCCAGGCAGCCACCATCTTGCCTCTTGCTGGAGGCAGTCCTCGGTAGGTAATGTCGAAAGTAACTGAGGGTGATTAGCTGACCATTTTTTCAGAGGGAAGCCTCCCGCCTTGCAGATCAGAACAAGCTGTCGGAGGATTTCCTTGGCTTCTTGGAGGGTAGAAGCTCCAGACAGGATGTCCATGTAAACGTCGGAGCGGAGGACCGCGGCTCCCTCAGGATGACGATCGCCTTCGTCCACGGCGAGCTGATGCAGTGTGCGGATGGCCAAGTATGGAGCGCAGGCTAAACCGTAAGTCACAGTAGTCAGCCAATATTCCTTGATCTCTGTTTCCGAGTCCTTCCTCCACAATATTCTTTGCAGGCTTTGATCATCGGCATGCACCAGGATTTGCCGGTACATTTTTTCAATGTCGGTGGCAAAGACGAACCGGTGCCTTCTCCACCGTAGTAGGATGTCCGCTAGGGCGGGAAGCAGGTTGGGTCCCGTCATCAGGAATCGGTTGAGACAGTCGCCGTTGGCCAAAGAGCTCGAACCGTTGAAGACCACTCTCAACTTGGTAGAGACACTGTTTTCGCGCAGGACCCCGTGGTGAGGAAGGTAGCAGGTTCGCTGTAGAGATCCAGTGGTCGACAGGGGAGCCGGCTTCATATGGTTGAGGTCCAAGTATTGCTCCATGAAATCCACGTACATGCTGCGGAAGGTATTTTCTTGTTCTAATTTTTTGCTGACGTGTTGCAGGGCCCGACTGGCGGCGCGTCGAGTGGCTGAGAGATCAGGCAGAGGCTCGATCGTCGGCAGTCTCACCACATATCGACCGTTGGCGGTACGGCTGTGATGTCTTAGGAAATGATCCTCGCACTCCTGGTCAGCCTTGGAGAAGAGTTGTGAAGGCCGTTGAAGCTCCTCCTGCTCCCAGAAGCGTCGCACCAGGATAGAGACGTCGTCCTCAACTCGGCATTGGTGAGTGTGAACGTGATGTCCGGTAGTCGTCTCACCAACCACGCCTGACAGTATCCAGCCGAGCGTGGTTTGTTGAGCTATTGGCTCATGTCGATTTCCCTTTTTTAGGCCCTGACAGAGGATCGAACTGTAAACGTCCGCACCAAGGAGGATGTCAACCGGATCAGCTGAGCGGTAATCAGGGTCCGCGAGCTCCAGACCCTGAAGATGAGGCCAGTTATGCCCGCAGCCGTTGTAGCCGCCGGCGTAGATGGTCAGCTTCGGCAGCACCAGGGCGTGGACGGTGATGGAAGGGCAGCCACTAAGAGACTGGAGGGTGAGTACCACTTTACCTTTTGAGACGCCTGTCTTTTTCCCGCCGACTCCATACACGGAAACTGAAGCGGAGCTCCGTGCTAGCCGCAAGCGTTGGGTGAGCCTTTCCGACACAATGGAGGATTCCGAGCCTTGGTCGACGAGGGCGCGAACGGACTGCCAGGAACCATAGCGATCGCATACGCGAACGCGTGCTGTGGCCAAAAGTACCGCTACAGGCGTCGGAACCGGTCCCTTGCTGACGTGCGCCGTTTTGACGGTCTCCGATGAGCGGTAGGCATCATGGAGTGAGGTGTGATGCCGGTCATTGCAAGCAGAGCAGTTCTTCTTGGAGGCGCACTCCTTGGTCTTGTGTCGGCCGAGACAGTTTCCGCACAAGTCGTTGCCTTCGACGTGCTGCTTGCGCTCTGAGGCCGTCATTTTCCTATAAGCGTCGCACAGCATCACGAAGTGGTCACCCTGGCAGGCTGAACAGCGTCCTTTAGTGTTTCCCTTGAGCTCCTTTGAGTCCAGCTTACGAGCATGGTGCGTACGAGTCGACCTCGACTGACTCCCGCTGGCCTTGCTGGACGAGACGTCGATCTTCGTCGAGGGTAACGACTCAAGAGTATGAAGGCGTCGCTCAAGGAATCGCTCTAGCAGAGCGTATGGCGGAGGCTCGTTCGTTTCGCTGATGGAGGTCTCCCACTCGCGGCGAGAGCGACTATCGAGAAGGTCAACGGCGAGGTGCACAAAGAGATCTTCAGTACTCCCTACTGGCCGGTCGATGCTCACCAGCGAGCTGACCGTAGTCTTGATGCCGTGGAATATCTTCCGAAGCTCAGTAGAGGATTCTCCCTTCATCTTTGGCAGGCTTAAAAAATTCGTTATATAAGAGCGGGTTAGTAAGCGCTTATTTTCGTAGTAGTCGCTTAGAGTTCGCCAGGCTCGCTCGTAATTGGCTTCGGTAGAACTGAGGTCTCTGATGAGAAGATCTGCCTCGCCCTTGACACAGCTCTTCAAGTAATGCATCTTCTCCACAGGCTTCGTCGTCTTATCCTGACCGATGAGGGAGACGAAGAGGTCTCGGAAGGCCGGCCAATCCTCGTATCTTCCCGTGAAGGTCGGCAGCTGGATTCGAGGTAGCGTGGTGCGAGGCGCCGATGGTGATGTCTCTGAAGTAGCAGAAGCAGCGGCGCGTTCCTTCTTCTGGAGAGTACGCCGCATCTCCAACATCAGGCCCTTGTTCACGAGATAAGACTCTTCGCCGAGTGAAGGTATGTCCTGTTTAGCATAGACGTCATGCTTTATTTCGTCTACACGCTCAGCCAAGATATCATTCATCGCATCGAACTTCTCCCACAGTTTGTCGAGATTCAGAAGCCGGGCTTCCACTGCACCGAGTGTGATGTTGGCCTCGCCGAGCTTACGAAGGTTATCGTATGCGCGCGAAATCTTGCCATATAGCGCGGTGGCGTTGGTGATTATAGTCGTGGTGTCTGCCATCTCTGACACTGTCTTATTTTCAGATGCACTGTTCACCTACACTGAAAGACTCTACGCTTCCGTGGCACCGGATTCACAGGAGGTTCTGGAGGATCCGGCTCGAAGGACCAAAAATAATGTGCGCAACGGAAGGCAGGATCAGGATGTCGGAAGCGAGAAGACGGCGAAGCACGACACTCGACAAACACGTATCGTTTAATATAACTATATTTTAACTAAAAACAAAGAAAATTACAATTACTGAAAACCGCACAGAATTTACAAAAAGTTAACGGATTAGGAGAATCCAAAAGAAATAGCCGAGTCGGTAATTAATAATTAAACGTTCCGCAAGCGACGATAATTAGACGTGGTAAAGAGAAAAAGACGAGCAATCTTTTTCTAACAATAGCAACACACTCTTGACACGACGAGCAATCGGAGAAGAGCTCCGCGATCACGAGAGAGGAGGCTTTTATAGGCCCGTGTTTCTAGAATATTCGAGAAGAATCCTATTTATTCTATCGTTTTGCTGAGGTCGAAAGAGCGTTTTGTGTAATTGTTTACTTTTAGACAATTAATCTTTTATTGTTATCGGAACTAAAGTGTATCTCCTCTCGCGTGACCGCGGTGTTTACAATTATCGGGGATTTAACGTAAGCGCTTTCTTTTCGCAGGCGCGGGGTATACGTATACCGGTGCGGCCGAGCGCTATTTTAAAGCATTAATAAAAATGATGCATGATGCATGTTGCATGTCACGATTTGCATGAGCTTTAACGCAATAATGTTCTTAGGTCTTTTCATTTTTCAATCAGCCGTTCGATTTTCGAACAATATCTATATCGGCTTATTGGCTATACCGCGATGTTCTTTGCGTTCACGAAATTAATTTTTCGTTGGATTAGAAAGTATGTTCTATCATTTATTTCTATAATTTTTAACTAATAAATAATTAACATTAAGAATATATAATTCGGCCTCCTACATAAATACAGCATATATATCTATATCGGCTTATTGGCTATACCGCGATGTTCTTTGCGTTCACGAAATTAATTTTTCGTTGGATTAGAAATAGTATCCTTGGTTTGGATCCCTAATTCCTGCAATACCCCTTTTAATTTAAACCCCCTGTAATAAATATAATTATTTAAATTTTTGTATTTGACATATTATTTTATATATTCTTACCATCTATATATATGTAACATTATTGTTTTTGATTCTAAAAGTAAAAATTAAGTTTTAATTATTTATAATTTATTTAATATAAATATCTCTATTATTAACTTAGATAATTAATATAATTTTACTTATTTTTAAGTGTTACATTTATATTTATTTTTCACTTAATAAAATTAAATTGTTTACACTTTATAATACATCACCCTTCTAAGGGAATGTATCCAATACAAATTAGAAGCAAGTTTTCTATATTTAATTTTTCTTAATTATATACATTATTTTGGACAACAAAGTTAATATTTGATTCTTCTTTCTTGTTACAGTTATTTTCTACTCAATGTCAGCACAACTTAAAAATTATTTTAAATATTAAAATACGCACAGATATATTTTTAAAAAAAAAAGAAGTACGACAAATTTTTAAAAACATAATTTTAATAATCTAGTAATGAAAGATTAATTAAAAGTGTCTATTATAATATTTATTATCTGTTATGTAAATTATAGTATTTTTAAATTTATAAATAATTTGTTTGATATCAAACTTTGTGGGTCCGCGATTATTTCAACATTAGAATTCATAAAATATTATAATATTATCATTATTTGAAATTATCTCTGAATTAAACTGTATGATTAAATTTTTTTGTATTTGTAGATAAATATATTTCTTATATTTTAAATTTATTTGAACTTACCCAGTATTTCGGACTAGATTGTTAATTGAAAAATTATATTAATAAAAATTATTTTTTTTCTAAATTCACTGCAGCAAATTAATGCTTTAGAGATATGCGCAGTGTTGGAAGAATATAATGTTAACACACACTTTATTACAATCACTACGTCTACCACGATATGGTTCGAAAGACCACGAAAAGTTGACTGATTATCTGTACATGATATTGTGTGATAAATATAATGTGTTAGGGTAACAAAATTTTCGAGGTCAATATATATATGTGTTTGTATGTGTGTATGTGTGTGTGTGTTTGTGTGTGTGTATGTGTGGCGGTATTTGAATTGTCTTAATTAAGCACATTCAAATTTCGGCCAATTAATCAAATAAATATGCATTATTTACAAATTTATATTTCTTATTATTAAAAAATATTTTAAATAAGGTATGGTATAATATCTCGTAATATATTCATCGCTTTCAATAATTTTATCTTAAAAAACTACTTGAATATTTAATATTTAGGCTCGTATAAATTCAAAATTAATATAAGAATAGGCTAACTCTCTGAACGAGTTAGATTGTTTCGGATATTAAATAATTTTTATTGTTTCAAATAATTTTAGAAACACATTATACAAAATGTTAAATAAGTAAACGTTTCGATAGCATGACAGTACTTTCTCAATACAATAAATTTTTGAATAATAAATATTAATGTTGATAAGTAGATAAGTAAACATTTGAAATTTATAGATTAAATGATACTATGTCTCTTTCTCTCTCTCTCTCTCTCTCTCTCATCACAGCTAAGATTAAGAACGGTTTTAAACACGAGAATAAAAAATTCAACTAAAAAAATTTTGTATCAACTTATTGACATATGTCATATCATTCAACGTATTATTCAATTACGGACACATAAAAAGTTTTTAAAATATTGACTGCAATCGAAATCTGACTGTCTTTTTCGCTTACCTATGATAATTTTGATCTATTAGTTTCTTATTATTTAAATATAGTTTCAATAAATAATTATATACGTACCAGTGCGCATTATATTCAACAGCATAGACTAATTCATAATAGGCGAATTAATGTATATTTTAGACATAGCATCTTTTAATCCATTAATTTAAAATGTTTACTTATCTATTTATCAACATTAATAAAATTTATTATATTGAGAAAGACTGTTGCATAGTCGAAACGTTTAATTATCTAACATTTTGTAATGTATTTCTAAAATTATTTGAAACAATATAAATTATTTAATACCCAAAGCAATCTAACTCGTTTGACCTATTGTTATATTAATTTACTTAATAATTTTCTTAATTTTATAATTTTAATAATTATCTCAATAATTCTTAATACTTCTATTTATCTTATTCAAATTAATTATCTTTAATGAAAATTAATATTTGCGACTCTTCCTCTCTTGGTACAATATTAATTTAGTGTAACATGCATAAAAATAAGAGATATTTAATGCAAGATATAGAAGCATTTTAAATCTTAAATTATATCTATTAAATTATAATATCAAATTTTTTTCTTATGCATTTTTATCATACTTATAATAGTAAAGGGTTAAATATTGAAGGAATATTAATTATTCATAAAACTTATATATGAGCACATAAGTAAAAAATACGGTTCAAATATTTTTGATAGTTTTACATTTGTGCCAAATTTGGAAAAATCGGAATATAATACTTGGCTAGATTTACAGCAAGTTATGACATTTAGTATTTTAAGAAAAAAGAAGAAAATTTAATCTAATTAAACAAAGTTGATCTTCGCATGCGGCCACATATACTGTCTGTGGCATGACTCGACTTCCCAGGTAATAGCAAACTGACGTTATTAAACGCCAAAATGACGTCATTTTGACATCGAATGACATCATTTTGACGTTTAATGACGTTAGTTTGAGTTCATTTGTGAGTTTGAAGTTAGGTTTCGCCGTCAGTTGACGCCACCGTTGCACAGTTTTGCAGCTTGCAACTTGCAGCTAGTGGTACAGATTAGTCTTACGCGAAACGTGCGGTGTGACGGACGCTTGGACAAGTGCAAGTCTACAGTGGAAGTGCAGGTATTTTGATCAAAAGATTTTTGTAGAAATATTTATTTTTTTTTCATATTTGTGTTTAAATATCGAATTTGTATGTTTTGCGTAATTAATTAATATATTTTTATGCATGCATTCGAAATCTGCAAACGGGTATTGTTTTCTAATTGTTTATACCCGTTTGTATACTATTCTTCAAATCGTTTGTACCTTGAAAGGACCGGAAGTACAGTCATTTAAAAATTTAATCAATGCCTGTACTTTCGGTCCTTTTAAGGTACAAACAAAAATTAAAAATGTACAAACAGGTACAAACGATTAGGAAACAGTACTTTCTTCTTATATTCTAATTGATTAGCTATATATAGGAAGCCGTTTGGATATACTAATTGTTTTTCGATTTCAGTATATAACGGATTTCTATCTATTTTTCGAATCTTTTGTCATGTTGCAACACTGTTTTGTATAAATTTTATTTTGCTAAAATAAATTCGACATTTATTATTAAAAAATAATAAGAACAATAAATAATAGAGAGGCAAATAAAATGATAAGATAATTTTTTAATATTAAAATTCATCGCGTTGATTGGAAGAAGTATATGATATACACAACCTTCCTGAAAACAAATTTAATGACAAATGTTTTAAAATACTTTTTATTATAAGTTATTATTCAAGTTGACACATTTTGCAGTATTTTTAGGTTTATTAAAATTATCGGCAAAAAACGCCGCATAATATATGGTGTACAATTTTAAAGTTATGGAATATAAATGATCTCGGAAATTATTTACATAAAACATCAATATAATGATTTAAATACAACAGAAGATAGTGAATTTTTGGATTCGTCTTACTTTCTATTACTTGATTTTATTTTTAATAAACAAATAAGTAAAACTTGATTGTCGTTGTCCTTTAGTCGCTTATTGTTTAGAGATAAAAATACTGCGTCTCAAAAAATTTTGTATCATTGTCTGTTCAATACACAGGTGTTGCTGCAAAGTAAACATGGCTATACTTTACAAAAAATTTGACACTTATACTTATTGAATAGTTTTTTAATGTCTGACTAACTACGAATTTATTTCTCTACGCCATGGACTAAAGATGTGATTATTGTAAAACATAAAGGTAATTTCTACACAATTTTTAATATAATAATTTGTAAATTTATGTTGATTTATTGTTACTTATAGCGTATTGCATCGCAACTGAAGAAATCTTAAGTAAAAGCACGAAACGTTCCGCATTTAATAATTGTTACATCTAACTTTAAGATTAATGACATTTTAATTTTATTTTAATTTTCTGCTTGAAAAAGGCCTATTAATTATTAAATTTACGTTTATATTATTGTATTATATCCAACAATAAAATTTATTATAATATTATATGACCATTTTCTTCTGACTGCACGGATAATAGTTTCTTTCCATTTACAACAAAACTCAGATAAATCTCACTTCTGTCTTTCTTTAACATGGATGTTCAACATCCATGTTAAAGAAAGACAAAAGAGAGATTTAGCTGATGTAAATGGAAAGCAACTAATAATACATTCAACTACTTCAATCAAGATCGCAAATAAAAAAAATGAAAAACTTGATGCATGCAGTCAATAAAAATTTGTAAATATAGAAGCATCTAAATAAATAATAAATAAACCAGTAAAATAAATAGTACATACAATATAAAAATTATTTATATGAACTATATCCACACATGCAAAGCTGCAATTTTTTACATCCGATAGAAAATACTTTTATAATATTGTCTCTGTCTTTCGATTTGACTGATGCGAATTACTATCTTGCTTTCAATTTTGTAAGAATGCCACACTGCGAAATCCTAATATATATAAACAAAAATTTGCACAATAAAATTAATATACTGTTTATATAATAAAGAAATCAAATTTAAAATTAATATTTAGAAATTATTAAGAAAAATAGAACAGTATTTCTTTATTTTCGCTTTCCATAATATTTATTAAACTTACCTCTTCTTTTATTTTATCAAAAAAATGTGTATTGCGCTTCAATTGTTGAACGTAATTGTTTAATTCCTAAAATATATTATTTTTAACATTATTAATAAACAACGTTATTATAACATTATCAAAATTATTTAAACATTAAATAATAATTATTAATATCGCATTATTATTACATTTTGTATACATACATATATAAACATGTAAAATTTTTACCTGAGTTAGATTTACGGAATATACGTTATTAATAATAGTAATAAATGCTGCAGTTATACCAACATGTCTAAAAACGAAAAAACAAATGTATATATAAACACATAATACATTTTTGTACAAAATATTTATAAAAATGTTACATTACTTTGGTTTTATGATAAAAAAATTATCTAATATGTACAGCAGAATAGTTGGATTCTTTGCATGCTTCGTAATAATGGGTAAGAAACTGTTAAGATGATAATGATATTCTTGATGTGTACTATTTTTATATGTTAAATAGTTCTTAATTATATTAGTATCTTCAGTGCAAGCCAAGTATTCTAAAAATTTAGTGTCAGATTTTTCCAATCCTACATCATACACTGATTCCCAAGTCGTTTTGTTGATATTTATCATCAAACCATTACAATATGTCCATTCCTTCCACCATGGCAAAAGTCTGAAATAAAAAATATTAAATTTGTTTATTAAAAATTAGTATATAACCTTTTGATCAAATCATTTAAACATTATAGGAGATATCTACAAAGAAATTTGATTAAGAAAGGCTAGGAATATATAACAATAATTACCTGTGTGTTTCAGGGTCTTTGATATGTTGTTTTAATTTATTGTTGGCCTTTTTTTTACAATTAATGTCATCAAGAAAACATGCCCATCTTGCAGCTTCTTGTCGTAAACATTTTCTAAGTTCGTCATTATCATCAATTTCTTCGAATCCTATTTTTCTAAGTACATTGATCATTATTGCTCGCATTTTTTCCTAAAAATCGTTAAATATTTATCTCTCTCTTTAATTAATATTTTCGCACCTGCGTTGAGCTCAAGTGAGACTTTCGGTCGAATGTCCCTGAACTACAAATTACATCCCTTAAAATATTGCGTCCGCGGGACGATTCCGATAATCACTCGGACCGCGTGACACAATTTTTCACGCATTTACTCGCGTCCGGGAAATAAAAATAGTATTTATGAAAGGAATAAGGAAATTTAATGGGAACACGAATACAAGAGGTAATTAAAAGGCAAAATAGCGAGGAAGAATCGTAATGCGCAGACATCACAGTAAACGTCCAAACCGAACGACAGCTGTCAGACGACTGTGATGAATATCGCGCCGAAGATAATATTCTGCGAATTGTTTAACAACAACCTCCATAGCAACCATCTCCGAGTAACGTATAGAAAGATGTAATTCGTAGTCCAGGGATATTCGACCGGAAGTCACACTTTGGCTTAACGCGGGCGCAACAATATTATAAATGTATTTAATAATTATTATATTTTTCTACTATTTTCTAACAGATTCTTAAAATTTTCTCTTTCCTTGAAACAAACATATGTACAAATTCACTTATATTGACGCGAACATTTATTTATGCACGTACATACACTCAAATATATATGTACGCAAAAATAGGGAGGATCCCAATTGCCTACAAATTTATTGTTAACAGCATCGTCTGCTAACAAATCGTTTGCTCACAAAACTTTTTGCCTACAATCTCTTTTGCGCACAAACAATAAAATTTAGGCACAAACGTACATTTGTACACACGATACTATTACGCACAAGTTATATTGCACACATGATATTATTGCTTGCAGATCGGCTCCCCAAAAATGTTATTTTTCTGGTCCAATGCTACTTGACAGAACTGCTGTTATGCAAATGGTATTTATCATACACTTTTTCCACTCGAAGGCGAGGTTCCACATGAGTTTGCAACATTCTACGCAAAGCGAGGTTTCACCCAAATCTTATATATTATATTGTTTTATCTATTTCAGTACCAAAAGAGCTGCCATAAACTCGAAGTGTCTCATTCGGAACAATATTCAAATTTATTTCCATTTTCCTAAAAAAAAGTAACAATCGCTGATATAATAGTATCATGTATGCAATGCAGCTTGTGCAATAGTTCGTGTGTACAAACGTATGTTGTTTTTTAATTTCTTTTTGTGCGCAATAGAACTTGTAGGCAATCGGTTTGTAGATAATAGCATTATGTGTGCAAATGCATATATTCGTTTCTTAATTTTTCGATTTGTGCGCAAAAGAGCTTGGAAGCAATAGATTTGTAAGCAAAAAATTTTATGCGCAAACAATTTGTTGGCAAACGGATTGTTGACAATCAATCTGTAGCCAATTGGATGCCTTCCAAAAAATACGATTAAATTTGTGCGAAATGTTTATAATTATAATTCATTGACAAAGATTTTAAGCGTCCTAATATATATCCAATAACGATGTTATATATTAATAATATTGGCAGTAGTGAAAATCATACATTTTGGGACTTGTTCTTCACGTGAGTGATTATTCTAAATGAATTTGCTTGCACATTTATTTGCGACGTAATTAATAGTGTTAAATTTTATCATTGCGGTATATATTTTTCTGGGTATTTTTTGTAGTGAATAAGTGTATATATGCAAATATCTGAAATATAATACTTTTATTGAAATCTACTAATATTTACCTTAAAATCCTCCATTCTTTCTTCCCACACTAAAAAAGTATTGAACATGTATTCCAGAGCTTTAAACATAGGATACCAAGCAGTATAATCTTCTTCTTGTTGCAGATACAATGCGATATCCCAGAATATAGCTGAATCGAGTTGGCCTGCTATCATTAAATGAAATGCATCATCGATAATTTGGGCACGATTAAGAACATGAATTTTCGTGTGATTATTAGTGTTTAGATAATTTGAAATTCTCCGCCAATTCTCACTATCATAGTTCACGCGATAATATCCTGATGAATAGTAAATAAATTTTATAAATATTTATTATTTTGAATAATTTTATTATTAGTATAATGTATTTATTTTCAAACATTTTGGTTTCATACTTTTGTTTATATAAATTATAAATTAATAACGTATCAAAAATTTAATACATATAAATAAAATACGAATACATATAGAAAATTGATTATAAATTAAAAATAAAACTGTGCAAAATATTGTATAGAATAAAATAAAATTGATTATAGTTGTGCATAAATTGTGTAATAATTATTTTATATTAATCAGTAATATTTCTGTAACATGTAACTTTACGAAAATTGTATGTTTTACTTGTACTTATTATTATACTAATTTTAAAAATATAATAAATAATTTTAATAAATATAATTAACTTTTTTATCATTTTTATTTTAATTAGAATAAAATATTTGTAAAAATATAACTTTAATATTGATTAAAATTATAATAGAAAACGCCGATGTATATCTTGATTATATATAATAATGCGCGCGCAGAATATTACACAAAATATTTTAAAACTATTAAAATTATAATGAATTTCTCAGATTTTTATAGGACAATGAATAAAATAAATAAAAATATATAATAATGTTAATTATGTGTGTGTAAAATAAAGACGAGAAATAAGTCTTAATAAGACCATTGGTCGATATTTACCAATTTGTTGTATATTGAATATCATCCAACCCTTTTCTTCAAATGGTAATGATATTTTTAAAACCTTCGACACGCATACCATATGATGAGTAAACTCGGTAAAATTGGGAGACGTCTGTATAGTAAAAGTTACGGGAAGGCAATCAATTTTTAATGTGTTGATATTTTGCATCAATACATTTGCTTCGTTCATAGTATCCTTATAATTTCGTATTATTTTTATGAGAGGACAATACTTTTCCAAACCCCAATATTTAAATGTTTGTAGTCCTATATCTGCCATTCTTGATTCAAAAATATGTAAAATATGTAAAAAAACATTACAAATATGTTAAAATTATACGTATAATGTTAATGTTATAAAAATTGTAATACATATTAAGAAGCAAAATATAAAATTGCACTTCTATTTATATATTTATAAATCCATTTATATATCTTGTATTTATGTTATCATAATAAATAATACAACATTATTTTAAATAAAATTTAATAATTTTATTTAATTTTTTAGGCACTATATTAACCATTAATACAGATTATATTTGAGCAAAGTATTTAAAGTGTTATAAAATGATTTAAAAAGGAAATAACAAAACAGATAAAAGGAAGATAAAGGCAAAACAAAAAATAAGAAAAATAATATAAAAGAAATAAATCTACGAGAGTAGAAAAATTAAATAAAGAAAGTAATGGAAAAGAGATGTAAGTGTTAGATATTTAAAAATCTGTTAAAAAAGATAGAAGAAGAAGAAAAGAAGAAAACAAATAAAAAATAACAAAAGATGCAATTAGAAGAAGAGAAATTATAAAAATTATAGACGATATATCGAAATAAAGGAAAGAATAAAAAAATAAAAATAATTTGAAAAATTGTTTTAAAAAATAATAAATCATGAACTAAAAATAAACAAAACAATAAATATGTATATGAAAAAATGACAAAGATAAAATAACATTTTTTTTTTACAAAAGCAATTTTGTAGTAAAAGTAATGAAATTAAATATAAATCTAGTACAGAATCTAGAAAAATATAGGAAAACTAAAAACTTATAAAACTAAAAAAAAACAAAATAATGTCAGAAAAAGCTAAAAAATAAGGGAAATTTTATAAAACTGGTCTTATTATAAATTATTATAATTTTATATAATTTTATTTTTTTTAATTATATTCTATATTATATTACTTACGTGCTATTTATATATGAACAAAATCTTTTCCAAAATATTTGGTCGTAGAAGATTTGTTGCACCATGCGCACTATACAAGGTGCTACAATTTACATAAATATTATTTAGATATATTATAAGTACATATTTACTAGAAAGGTTACATGTAAACATAGTGATTTTATAAAATTAAATTGTATATATATGTATATACAAGGTAGTAATTGCGTAACAGTGAAATGAAATTTCTCGTTAATTGTTATAAAGATAGCAAAACAATAAATGACCATTCAATTAATTTCCTCTACCTACATATGCGCGGTTATTACGGACACTATATATATATATATATATATATATATATATATATACATATATAAACACACACCCAAAACAATAAGTTGAAAGGATAAAATAATCATAAAGAGAATATTTTACAGGGTATTTTATACCTTTAACACATTATTTTACGTGAACGTAAATATATCTCAAGAAATATTCATTTCTCTTTGATCTTATCTCAATAATTTTATATAAAATAATGTGAAAAATCAATATTTTTGCAAGAAAAAACTAGTAGTTGTTTTTAAAGAAAACTATGTAGCTCATAGTTGCAAATTGCATGCACACATCTATATTGTTTATATGTATATTCATATATACATATGTATATATACTTTAAGTATTAATTAAAGAATTCGCGTAAATACGCACACACATACGTACGCATGTGTGTGTGTGTGTGTGTGTGTGTGTGTGTACTTTTATAAAATTAATATATTATTAATCCAAATAAAGAATTAATTATCTTATAACTTTACACATATATTTTTAAAATATTAATAATTAAACATTTACGCGGACAATTTTATTATATTACGTTATACCTCTTATAGATTGGCGAATTTGTAATAAACTGTCATCTTGTAAAGTAGAATTCCACAAACGATAATCATCCAAATAAAAAGAATTATGTTGATGTTGAACAACAAACAAATGGACTATTCGAAATTCTGGATAAATCTATAAGCAAAAATATTTTATACCTATAAAATCGCTTTGAAAATACTTGCAATAAAAACAAATACTAATATTATTGTAAAAAGAGTTTGATATACGAAAATCTTATTGCAATATAAATACTTAAGTTTATCGTTTGCGAAAAAGTTGGAGCAAGATAGCGTTTAAAATAGAATAACCTTATGGACAGCATACGTTGCAAGTAATCTAGTATCACCTTTATTGGACCACAAAGTCGACTGACTCAGATTGTTCAGAGTTTCAAACAATAACAATTGCTGCATCATTTTCTGTCCTACTAATTGAGCTACTTGAATTTTGTGAGCAACAGGATGTAAATTTTTATCGTAGATGATATCTGTTTCCCTGAAAGTTGTATTTAAATGTCCAGACTAAAAAGTTATATAGAAAATAAAACTTTATTTTTGTTACAATTTTTAATTTTATGGTTAAAATTACAATTTACAAACTCATAAGTACAATTTAGCAAACCTGTATCGTAAATTGTATCAAATAATGTTTTTTTTTTAATTTTTAATTTATAATATAAAAAAATGATAAATTTGTGTTATGCGTATACAATTGATAAAAACCATAAATCTAAATAAATAAAAAAAATGTCATTTCTCTTATAGTTTTATTGTATATAGTTATAGTTGTTATAGTTTTATTGTAATTTTAACATTTATCTTAGGGGATACGATTTAGCATACATACTTTCCCTTTTATGTACGTACTAAATCAGTAAATTTATTCTTACTAAAATTGTTTCTCTTTAAAATTTCTCATAATGTGATACTTTCAGACGTTTACAGAAACAAAAGATATACTTACATGTTTTTAAATTTTATAATTTTGCATACAATACATACAATTTTATTTTTAATGTAATTTTAAGTATTTGTACTCACCTATAAAGAACAAGTCCGAAAACTGTGTCGCTTTTGTCATAGAAATTTGGAATTGCAGCATGAGTGACGTGCGAAATCATTTTCGAATACTTCGGTATATTTTTATCAATATGCAACATGAAATTTTTAACCACATTTTTTGCAAATTCCATATGAAATTTAGATTTATATCTATACCACATTTTAATGTTTTCAGTTTTGTTATCATGAAGAAATAGATAATTAGACACAACCATTTTTACAAGATGAGGCGACATTGCAGGTGTGGTACCGAAGTGTTTCCATACCAAATTGTTCTTATCTATTTCCGTATTTCGCAATGGCATATTTGACAAAGCCGTGCAATGAGTACATCCTATAGATATCTTAAAGGTTGCGTTTAACAATAAATTGTGTTTCTCCCAGCATGAAATTAATGGTCCGGCGTCTATTTTCTGGAAATGCGGAGCACCTATCCAACTACATTTCAAAAAAAGAAATTATTGAAATATTTTTGGCGTACATAAAAATATTGAAAATTAAAAACGTGTAAATTTAATATGTGTACATAATAATATGTACTAAAGATAAAGATTGTTTGTTTTTATATTTAAATTCCACGATATATAATAACTTTTTGGACATTTGATACATAAATAGTATATTAATTACAATGTCCTATGTAATTACATATTGTACTCTTTTTAATATGCATTCATTATTTACTTACGCAGTTTTTTCTTTCACGTTGAAAATTCTAAAGAATTTATCAGCAGTATCTCGATATTTTATATTTAAGATGTAATTTCCTGGAGGTAACTCATCCATAAAGAAAATATAAATTGTGTCTTCTTCAATATTATATGTCGGTTCATAAACGATATCTTTATCATTCTCATGATATCTTTCAAAGTTTGTAATTAGAACTATATCTCTAATACATAATTGTTCTGAACGTAAATATATGTATCGCACTTTGTTAAGAATGTTTATGCTGATATTGTATTCCCCATAGAAAATATTTTTTCAATATATGGTGTAAGCTTGATATCATAATGCATTGGTATTACAAATTCCAGTTTTTATAGCATAAAGATTCATTGCGAGTGGAAGCCGTCATAGAGATAAAAATTAATCCACTAATTAATAATAGTTTTAGAAATATCATCATTTCAGAAAAGGAATACTTCTTTTAGATCTGTAAAACACTCTGGATAAAAGATAAATAAAGATATTAAATATAGCTTAAGTAATAAATAAAAAAAGTATTAAAAGTATCAATTGAAAAACTATCCTACTTAGCGAATTATTATATGGTGAGGAAGCAATGTGCAAATTTCCATTTGCACAATTTTTTTAAATAAAATCATATATATATGTATTTCAGTGTCGCACATATTGTAATTGACGGCAGTATAGAGATATTAAATTTATAACATATTTAAATTTTCTTTAAATTAATCTCATTATTGTTAAAAAGTTATTCTCATTTAAAATTTATAGAATATTATTTAGCATATAAAGATTTATAGTATATAAAGTTAGTTGTCTGAAGCAAATTATTTTTATAAACACAAGAGCCGTTATTTCTACATACATATATATCTATGCGTACATTCAAAATAAGAAGAAAACAGTAGGGATAAAAAAACTGAGGAGCGGCAAGCGAATGAGAGAGATTGAGCACATGTTTATTATTATGTTCCTTTGAAAGTCTGTTGGATTTCTTCTATTAAACTGTGTATTATAAATACTAAACGAATATTCACCGAAAATTAAGTCAAGATAAATTCAATTTTAAATTGTATCAATTATAAACTTGATAATAAATATTATATAATATGTCCCAGAACTAGCAGTAAATCTTTTAGAAGCAGATATTTGAGATCATTTAAAGACGATTTTTTCTCAGCGAAAATGTCGTAGTACCAATAAATTTCGAGTTACAAGCAATTGAAAATAAATGGTTTTTGCAAACTAATCCTTATGGAAATAAAATTAATAAAATCACATTTGTCAATAAACGATAGTTTCTCTGGGCATTTTCGCGGAGGAAAAATTGACTCCAAACAATCTCAAAAATCTACTATATGTTTTATATATACATGTATATATATATGTATAAGATTTATTATTATTTCTAGGACATCCTGTATATAAGTGGGTATTTTTCAATATTTCAGATTAAATATCTCAAAATAGATGTGTTAACGACTGCTTCAAATCTAGAATATTAAATGTTATGAATGTATTTCTTCATAATTTGATTCATAATTAGTATGTTCTATAATTTTACTCTATAATTTTTAATTATTAAATAATTATTCTAATTTTTAATTAATAAATAATTATTCAAAAATAAATATAACATTTAAAAATAAGTAAAATTATATTTAACATCTAATTTAGTAATAGAGATATTTATATTAAAATATATAAATGAGAGAGATTAAAATTTAATTTTTACTTTTATACAATCAATAACAATAATGTTACATGTATATTGATAATAAGAATATATAAAAAAATATTATCTCAAATTGAGATATTTTTATAAAAGTATTTGTATAAAAAAATTGAGATATTTGTATAAAAGTAAAAATTAAATTTGAATCATTTATATAATTTAATATAAATATCACTATTATTAAATTAGATAATAAATATAATTTTACTTATTTTTAAGTGTTATATTTATTTTTATTTCTCACTTAATAGAATTAAATTATTTACACTTTTTATAATACATCACCCTTATAAGGGGATATATCCAATATAAATTGAAAGCAATTGTTCTACATTTTATTTTTCTTAATTATATACATTATTTTTGACAACAAAGTTAATATTTGATTCTTCTTTCTTGTTACAGTTATTTTCTACTCAATGTCAGCACAACTTAAAAATTATTTTAAATATTAAAATACGCACAGATATATTTCTTTAAAACAAAAGAAGTACGACAAATTTTTAAAAACATAATTTTAATAATCTAGTAATGAAAGATTAATTAAAAGTGTCTATTATAATATTTATTATCTGTTATGTAAATTATAGTATTTTTAAATTTATAAATAATTTGTTTGATATCAAACTTTGTGGGTCCGCGATTATTTCAACATTAGAATTCATAAAATATTATAATATTATCATTATTTGAAATTATCTCTGAATTAAACTGTATGATTAAATTTTTTTTGTATTTGTAGATAAATATATTTCTTATATTTTAAATTTATTTGAACTTACCCAGTATTTCGGACTAGATTGTTAATTGAAAAATTATATTAATAAAAATTATTTTTTTTTCTAAATTCACTGCAGCAAATTAATGCTTTAGAGATATGCGCAGCGTTGGAAGAATATAATGTTAACACACACTTTATTACAATCACTACGTCTACCACGATATGGTTCGAAAGACCACGAAAAGTTGACTGATTCTCTGTACGTGGCATCGTGTGATAAATATAATTTGTTAGTTGTGAAACAACAAAACTTCCAAGGTCGATATATATATATATATATATATATATATATATATATATATATATACAAATATACCGATATAGCACACAAGTTTGCAGCAATATTGTAACAACATTGCAATATTGTACATTGCATAGCAATATTGCAGAAATATTATATAGGCATGAATTTGCAATATAATTTAAACAACATTGCAGCAACATTTCAGAAATATTATGAAAATAAAATTTACGCAAAAAATATTAGGTACAGAACATTCAGTCCGATCATGTATTTGACACATTTCCAACAATCCAATAGTAATATTACATATATATTTTATTGCATTATTGCTGCAATGTTATAGAGCAATATTTCTGAAAGCGGACATTTTACCGTTGCTGCAACCTTACAGCAAGATTGCTGCAACATTTCACAATATTTATGCAATGTTGTAATATTGCAATGAAATGCTGCTGCAATCTTGTTGTGCTATATGAGTATGTGTGCGCGCGTGTGTGTGTGTGCGTGTGTGCGCGTGTGTGCGTGCGTGCGTGTGCGTGTGTGTGTGTGGCGGTATTTGAGTTGTCTTAATTAAGCACATTCAAATTTCGGCCAATTAATCAAATAAATATGCATTATTTACAAATTTATATTACTTATTTTGAAAAATATTTTGAAAAAGGTATGGTATAATATCTCGTAATATATTCATCGCTTTCGATAATTTTATCTTAACAAACTACTTAAATAATTAATATTTAGGTTCGTATAAATTCAAAATTAATATAAGAATAGGCTAACTTTCTGAACGAGTTAGATTGTTTCGGATATTAAATGCTTTTTATTGTTTCAAATAATTTTAGAAACACATTATACAAAATGCTAAATAAGTAAACGTTTCGATAGCATGACAGTATACTTTCTCAATACAATACATTTTTGAATAATTAAGACTGTCACAAATTAACTGTTGTATTAATCGTGCATCTGCGATTTTTTCCGAAGCTTAACAAAAATTTTACGGACATTGCATATTTAAAAGTTATAATATTTATTTATTATAAGATTCTAGTAATGACTATAATACAAGCATGTGCTTGGGATTTCGGGATACTTATAATATTCCGAATAATTCATAACTTTACTTATATTAATTTTAATATGTTATGTTCCTTATAAATTGCTGGAACTTTTATAGAAATTTGCTTATTTTTAATAATCTCTGTATGTGTGTTAAGATATATTATTCCTTTATGTTATATTATTTTTATTTTTATTTTTATTTAATTTTAATAATAAAATTAAATCTAAAAATAATCAAGTAGCATATAAATTCTTAAATAAAATATGTAAATTTTGTATAATGCTTTTTTCTTAAACTATAAATAAAAATATATCATGTACTATCTTCTCTCATTTTATCATCACTGTGTTGCTTGTAATTTGGCAACGACACTGCTGGAAAATGCTAATTTAATACTTGTGACGCCATCTCACACTTAAGATATAAAGTACATATCTCAATTTAATCTGTTGATTAAACTTCATACTAATTTTGCAACAAATAAATACTGAAAGTAAATTACAATGAAATATGTGAGATACACATTTCTTGAAACATTACAATTTGAAATTCATAATTAAAAATTCCTTTTAAAATGAATATACTACAGAATATATACTATAGAAATTCTACATGTATATATATATTTATATAATACTAAAAGAGTAATATATTTGCAATATTTATTTAATATAACTACAAGATTTAACTAAATAGGCTAATACATGATCTCATAAATTTGCTCATTATCATAATTATATATTGCAAATAAGATATAATAATAGCTCCTTCTCTATTTATGTACAATTTCTTACACACACACACACATACACATTAATCATTTATATTATATTTATAATTATTTGTTAAAAATATATATATATAACCCTATGGTTGCACCAATTATTGATAAGCACAATGCATAATATCAATCAGTATAAATTAATCAGAAACGTTCAATTTATTATTTACTTATATATATAATATTTTATTATAATATATATATTTCTTTAAAAAAATTAATCAGGTATAGGATTATATAATACATATATATATATATATATATATATATATACATACACAATTTTAAGCAACCATAGGAGTAATATTTTTAACATAAAAACGAATGATAAGACATCATAAAGCTCATGTCGAATGGTAACACATATTTGCTTCAGCAATATAAAAAATATTTCAATATTTTTTAATATTACATTTCCTACAGCCTATACTAATTATATAATAAATGACAGTCTAGAAATTGGTGCTCGTGTACCAAATGTTTTGAAACATTGTAAATATTTCATATAATAAAAAATAGGTATCATAATGGAATGTTTGTTTAAATGATAAGAACATAAGCCTTTTGTAATTATAATACATACAGTGGCAGTATGCAACAATTTAACATTTCAAGAAAAGAACTATGAAATATATATGCGGCATTCGTGCACGTAAATATTGCTGATTATTCTAAGGCTAAATAAGCAATCACGAATTTATGAGTCATTGTAACAATGTGAATAAATGTAATTCGATAGCTGCACATTAGATAATAACATAGTCTCCTTATTACTTTACTAATATTATTTTGCAAATCAAATGAAATCAGATCTAATTGAATAATCATGATTCATTATGCAGGATTATCAGTTGATCTAGGATAATCAAAGCATATTGTCGTTAAAGAATCCGCATATTTTCGTTCTTGTTGTGTCGTCTTTAGCCACTGTTTATGTTCACATAAATAAGGATATAAAGGTACTACTAATACGCTAATATCATCTACCGATGCTATAGGTGAAGATTTTTCATCTGCTTCGTTAGGATTCTCGGGTTTTCCCATCCACACTCTGCCAATTAAGCGACCTCTCGCTGCTTGCACTAATTCTTGAGCACCCATTGTCAGTCTATAAATCAAAGAATTTGTATCACACTTTATCATACTTATTTAATTATTAAAAAAAAAGTTTAGTTATAATAGTTATTAAACAATAAAGTTTAGTTATAATAGTTATTAAATAATAAAATTTAATTATAAAAAAATTACCTATATTCTAATGATGGTGTATCAGGTGCAAGTGTCTTTCTAAGTATTGTTGCCGCTGTTTTGTCTGACACTACATCCCAGAGTCCATCTGTGGCGACAATAATGCAATCTCTTTCAGTAAGATTACAACTGTCCAAGTCTAGAGACTGTACTTCAGGTTGTGATGATAGAAATGGTTTGATATTAACACCAGTGTTTGCTGCTTTCAAGCCGTGATCTCCAAAACCTCTAGTCACACCTATTGTTCCCATTACTCTGCTCTATATATTACAAACGATTTCTCATCGTCATAGTGTGATAAACAAAGTTACTTTGATTTAAAGAATTGAAAATTAATATTAATAATAATATACCCTTTTTCCATGTCCTGAAATAAGTGGTAATTTTAAATCCTGATGTGTTAAGGTTTTATATGCCCAACCAGTCATAAAAGGCTCACGATATAAAACCATAGATCCTAATTCCTTTTGTAATGGTCTTTTTCTAAACTCCAAAGGAGTAAAATGACCTTTGAGCAACTCGTTGCTTCTTAGAAAGCCTAAAGCTCTGACACGATTTGATTCAGAATCTGGAGTATGATCTCTGGTGACAGCACGTTGTTCCTCTCCCAAAACTAACACAGCCCTAATAAAAACAGTTACATAAATATTTAATTTTATATATCACAACTCATTATCTATAAATTATAATACAACCTGGAATCACCAGCTCCTGCTGCATATAGCCTTCCATTAAGAAATAGAATTGTAATAGCTGTACAACCACCACCACCATTTTGAGCCTGCATATCTACCATTTGATCCATTTGTCTGTATGCTAATTCTATAGCACCCGTAACTAAGTCTCTGCCTTTTATCAGCTCATTTTCATCTTCATTCAGTAGCATATTAGCTGGTATAGCCATTAACCTTTCCTATTTTCAAATAGTTTATTAGTAAATTTTTTTCAAGAAAATCTGAATAAAATTTTCTGAAAAATTGTACATACAAGAATTATTCTATGTAGCTGTAATCTCGCTGTAAGAGCAACTTGATACCCTGCATGACCATCAAACATTGAAAACATGACATAAGGCAGTGTGACATTAACATCTGACAATTTTAGATCTCCACGTGTCGCAGAAGCTTGATCTTCATTCCAAGTACTCTTCCCAGCATTTATACATTCTGCATAGCCAGCACACCATGGCAAACGACTAAGATCCCTTGGAACTATTATAGGCCTTACTCTGTGATCTGCACTCACCTATATAAAATAAACAATTTGTATATAATTTTGACAAATACTAAGTATCGGTACAATTGTATTAATATCTTTTTATTTCTATTAAAGTACGCATTTACAATTCAGTATAAAAGAAAACTAGAAATACCTGTGTCTCTTCAGCTGTCAAGCCTAGAAAACTTGGACGGCTATAAGGTTTATTTTCTACTTCCACAACATAATTAGAATTAATATAATCTGTCATATCATTATCCGAATCATTAGGGTACTGTAGGCCAAGCTCGCTTGCGCCCACAGCACTCATTAATACCGATTTAAAACGGTTCAACATTTTTCTTTCTTAATTTATTTGCAGTATCACACAGAATTTCAATTGACGTTAAATTTGTATGACAGATAGTTAATCATATATTGCACTTATTCAGCATAGTACCAAAATTTTAAATATTCTGCACGCAACGATATGTGTAAATCTCACAGATTGCTTGATCTCTTAGAGAGATCAATGATTATCTGTCAAAATGCCTGTGTTAAAGATAAAGCCTTGGATTAAAAATCTAACGTTTGACATAATATTTCTCTTTCAAATATTTTCATTTCTTTAATACAGTAGTACTTACTGCAATTAGACGTTTAGCAATTATATTTGATTAATGTCATCTTGTTGACAAACAGTTGTCAAAAATACAGGTTATAACGTAACACGAACATCCTGCATTCAACGACACCTATACGAAATTTCCAGAATCAGAAAATCTTTATTCATCTTATTGCGAGTAAAAGTGCACGAGTGATATAATGTGTAGTACCTTGTGAACGAATTTATTCATCTTATTGCGAGTAAAAGTGCACGAGTGATATGATGTGTAGTACCTTGTGAACGAATGAACGTGTCTGATTATGAATGATTTTTAAATAGTCACTGTCAATAGTGACAGTATTTATGTGAGTTTATATCAAATATACTATATGAGAAAGAAAGTAGGGAATTTTAGTAAGAATTTTGTAAAGAATATTTTAATAATTTTTGCACGACATAACTTTGTTTGTATGATAAATGTTTACAGTCCTTTTATATATAACAGATGTCCTAAATAAGGACGATGGTGTGTGTAAATAAATTTTTGTGAGCTCATGCACTTAAATATAGCATAGTAATACACTAATCTAAAATGTAAGTTATAAATATATAATTAACTAGTTTTGATTTAAGTTGCACTTTGTTGTTTGTTATTCTTTCTGCATGTAATTTTTTTACATCAACATCTCTTTAATGTATCTTTTATTTAGATTACAGAGAAAATATTGTAATAAAAAATGAAGACCTATTAATTTATATATATTTTTTCAGATAAACACATAAAGGGAAAACTATTTTACATTTATTTGATTTAACCTGATATTATTCAATATTATTATTTAACTAGAGAAAGGAGATTATTTCTTATATTAAATATGTCCAAGACGAGGAACAACATGCGCAGCAGTGAGGTAATTGTTAATAATTATATTTTGTATATCTTACTTTTAAAATATGTAAAGATTTGTTTAATAAGAGGTTTTTACTATATACAATGTTTTATAAAGATAATTATTTTTTTAAAAGGAACACAGTAGTCTATCTTCTTGTACATCATCATCATTATCGTCAGATGAAGAGATAGATACAAGAGATTTAAAACCAATTAAGAATTATTTAACTAATCGTAAGGAATTAGCACGACAACTTTTCAAATCTGTTAAGCTAGAAAAGATTCGTATGATGTTGCCTCAAGTTTTGAAAGTAAGTTGTTATATTTATAAATTGATAGTTTTATATAAAATATATATATATATATATATATATATATATATATATATATATGTATATTTAAACATAAGAATATAATGCGTTATTTTTTTGTTTACACAGCATGTAGATTTTAATGAACTAGAAGAATATTGTGTAAATGAGTTAAATGGTATGTCTAAAGCCCGAATATTATCAAAATTAAATGGTAAACCTATGTTGGAATCTTCAGATACAAGTGAAACAGATGATTCAGGTATGTGCATATTGTATCTATACAGATACACTAACTAACAATAAGTCTTATAAATAATACTACCTTCTTATTACATCTTTCTCTCAATAGGACCTTCGCTAGAAATTATTTCTGACACAGAAGAATGGCTGACGGATGATGATATATCTAAAAAGGAAAATAGCAAACAGGGAAAGTTGATAAAAAAAGATAAAATAAAAAGAAAAACACATATTAAGAAAAAAAATACAGATACGTCTAATTCTAAAGCAAAATGCAGTATTAAAAGTGAAAATAGTGATAAGAACATTAAAATTAAAAGAGAGGATGATAAAGATAAAGGAAAAGAGGGAGACAGTTTGTTAGATTTATTAGAATTAGAAATGCGCGCTCGCGCTATAAGAGCTTTGATACGAAAAGAGGAGGATGTAATGCCATCCACTAATCCATCAGAAACAAGTAACGGTCAGACAACAGAGAATAACATTGGAACGTCACAAGATGATGACAAGGCCAAAGAAACATGTCGTAAGCAGTTAGAAAAAATTATCAATGCTCAACAAGGTACCAAAGGCGAAGATGAAGATGTTGTTTTAGTAATTCAACCTACGCCAGTCGTGGAATTATTGTCTAGCGATAGTGATGGGGAAGTGCATGACGAAACACGAGTAAATCAAAAGAAAAATGAACGTGCAACTGGAAAATCTGCGAACACCTCCGATGAAAATATGAAGAATTCTAACAAAACTCTAGGAACTCAAGTAACAGGGACACACACTACTTATAGTAATACAAATATTCTAACCAAAACTGATTTGAGCAGCGAAACAAGAACAATAATGCCTGATAGAAATGTAGATATAAAGAACAATACATTATCAATATCAATTTCTGCAGATAACGTTGCAGAAAGACGCAAAAAATCGAAGAAAAAGTCACATTCAAAATCACAGCTTACTTCTTCTGCTAGTGAAAACATTTCAAATACAAAACAAATTTATACTACCGAGATTATAGAACAATCAAATAATTTAAAGAATGACACTATAGACAATACTACAGAACAATTAAGCTTTTCTGACGAAAATGAAGTTATGGAAGAAAAGAATAACACAAAAGAAGAGGCATCAAAAGAAGAAATATCAAAGGAAAGTAGAATTGAAGAAGAGAGATTGACAGAGTTGGATGAAGTTATTGACTTAGATGACTTGGATGATTATTGTGATGTTATGGATATAGAAAATTGTGATGAGGATAAGAGTGAAGATGAAGTTATTATTCCTTTTTCAGAAGAACATAAACAATCTGCACCTGAAACAACTTTATCAAAATCAGATTCAACAGAAACTTGGGCATCACGTTATTATCAAACTGATGATGTTCAGAATGTAATAAAAGAATCAAAGATACAATCTGAAATCCGGAAACGATTGAGAGAACGTCAAAGATTATCTAAATTGAATAAATCACCAAATTTGAATTTACCTTCACAATCCTCAACTGATACAGCTGCTACATCTGAAAAAGTTCCAACAGGATCAGTAGAGGAATATTTAGCTTTAAAGCGTGCAATGAATGCAAATGTTAGCCCTAACAGTAATAATGCAAATGTTAGCACTAACAGTAATAATAATACAACACAAGATAATCCTTTTGAAGTTATCAGCAGTGACTCTAATATAAAAGAAATGTCAGTACAAGATGAAAATATTTCTTCCAATCAAGATAAGACAGATGGTACGAATGATGCACAGAAAGCAGCAGAAAATTCAGAAAAAATTACTTCTGAAATTACTGAACCTACCGAAGCTACCGAATCTACTGAATCTATGACAGAAATCGATACAAAACATGATTCTCAGCCTGATTAATTTTTTTCTTGTAAATGTAATTAAATTTTAATATTAAGATTAATAGTTTTAATATTAATAAGTGTATTTCTGGACATATTTTTCAAAAATATTTAAATAAATCTGTTATACATATAAATATAATATCAATAATTTATACATATATCTATTATACGAAATCTAGAACTTCTTAGGATCAAAAATATTTATTCTTTTATTATAAAGATGTTTTTTTCTTCTCCCCTAAATTTTTTGTCATCATAAACACAATCTGTATTTAAATAAAATATAGAAGTACAATTTATATATTTAAGTACAATTTAGAAGATAATTTAAACTCACATGTATAAATCTTTGTTTTAAAATCATATACTGTAGAAGGATTATTTAGTTAATATTTATTTAATATTTATTTATTATTTATTATTACTTATGTAATCTACATTTATAATTATAATCCACAGAAATGTTTTTAGTTATAACTTTCATTATAATTTTGTTGTAAATGAAATCGTTTAGTTAAAAATTCTTTAACGATTCTTTGATTAATTTTAACACTATGAACAATTTTATCTTACCACATTCTTGTTAATTAAATCAATACTTTGGATGATAAACAATTGAATATTCATAAAATTATTTTACACCAGTCATTTCTAAATTAATTTTGCCACGTTCCGTCACATTCCAAATTCATGCTGCACGTTTTGTCGTAGTTAATGACTAGTTTTGCTGCAATTGCTAATCCATTAACGGTTCCAAATATCTTACTGTTGAGCGTAATTAAGTTGTTTTTAATTATACGACAAATATAATTTATAGAATATACAACATAAATATATTTATCGTTATACAAAATTTTATCTAATAAATTATAATTAATATTTATAATTATATTTAAATTAAACTGTAAACGCAGCTAGCTTGTATTATTCGTATTTGCATTGTGTTGGATATAACTCTATTTTCTTCGAAAAGAGAGTCGAAAAATTTCTGAAAAGTTAATTTTCCTGAAGAGAAGGTCATTTATATAATGAACGTTATATTAAAAAAAAAGACATTTAATTTTCTTCATTACATTACAAAATAAAGCTTTCTCAAAGGTTATATTAATTATTTGAAACTAGCATTTCATTCCGAGTCTTATGTTGCATGTCTCCATTCAGGAATTTTAATTAGATTTTCTATTGCGTCATTTTTTAATGTTTTTTTTTCAAATGTCCACGAACACGCGTTTATGGTAAACTGCATACAGAAATTCAAATTATTAAGAAGAAAACATAATCTACAACTAAAGAAAATAAAATTACATAAATTATTAGATTATTAAGATAAAGATACAACACAAGATATATCTAAATTTATTGCATCTATTGATACTCCAAAGCTCTCCTGCCTTTATCATCCTTGTTCTCCGACAAAGACGCTTGCACAAGAGATTGAATGTAATGATCGTCTCTTCTAATAAGGTATGTTTGATCTTTGCTTCTTTGAAGTATATATCAGCCTTGCTAAATTAGTGTATTGCAAAGAAACATATTACATATAAAATATATATTATTATTATTAAAATAAATATAATAAAAATAAAATATTAAAATATATTATGAATTTAAGAGATACAGTTCCGAATAATTATTTTTTCCTGCTTTGGCTCTGTTGGCCGATTTAAAAAACATATTTATATTATGAATTTAATTTCTAATTTCCACTATTCATTGAATGAACAGTAAAACAATTTTGCACACAAATTGCGCAATGTCAGCTGATCAATGATAATTATTAAATCACAATATCATGATTTTTTTTAATCATTGCACAATACAACTTTCATTTGAAAACGTATAATTTATTACAAATCTAATCTAAAGAAAATCTCTTAGTATTTCGCTTTTTCGTAATAGAATTCTCAAAGACTTTTGTGTTTTACCTGCTTTTGATATTTATCGGCAAAAATAAGCGATATTCTCAGACTGCATAATACTTGTTGCAATGACGGAAAGCCAAGAATAACAATTATCGGATGGATGAACTATAATTATCTAACAAAGCGGACAGTTGCGCTCGATTTTCTTCTGAGTGTTATTTAAACGATTACGGGGAATTAAACTTACTTGGAAATTGCTGATTCCTAAAATGATACCTCTGATGTTCCAAGAAAATCTTTCGCTTGAAAAGTTCAATTGGGTCACCGGATATTTGTATGACATATATCCGATAAAAAATATCCTTCGTAATTATTTTAGTCTGACTATATCGGGATATAAATAAGAGCAGAGTAATGAATTCACAGACAAGAATTAAAGGTAAATATTGAATTAATTATATAATTAGTTACAGTAATTAATTATACAATTAATTGAGCAATATTAAAACATTCTATAAGATAATTATCGAATTCAAAAGTAATTGTGTGCGAAATCAAAGAACTGAAAAGAGAGCTAAATGAAATATTCGATGTAAAAATATATGTTCGTATAATTTTAAGTATGATGAGTTTGTCAGTTCGTTTGATTTAATACATAATTTAATTTGAGTTAGATAATTGGATAAATGATTTCATTGTTGAATTCTGTGATGAATTCATTAAAAAGACAAATCATTTTATAACGAATTCATTGAAGACATATATCATCATCTCTATTTCGGGATAAAAGAAAATTATGATGTGTGGGTTGTGCTTGATTAATAATTCAGTAGATAACGATTCCGTAGATAATGTGTTCTTTTGCGGTTATTTAGACCGTGAAATTATTTGATCTCTCAGTTGATTACATACTAAAATATAAACATTCGTAATAAAAACAATTTTTATAGTTTATTCATCCGTGGAACATTTCCTATTAAACAACATCATGTAGGAATAATAATTTTAAACGATCGCGTAAAAGATATAAAATAAATTAATATTATTTCGTATACGATTTTAATTACTCTCTCAACGTATGCGATAAAGGAACAGTCATCACTTTTCAGCTTAGAACGTTAGTTGAGAAACACCTCTCGCGGAAACTTTTTTACGTTATTGCACCTAAAATTATTATGTGATGTCGCAAATCCAGACTCAGAGGAGATACGCCTTATAATAAAGCCTAACTCTCGACAGGATGCAAGTTGTTTCCTTTAATTTGAAACGGAATTCGTATATACAATTATCATAAAAATCTCAAGCTGTTTCTTTTCATATTTTGTTACTTAACAAGCATTAATCTGCTTTCTGTCTTATTGATCTATAATTTCACGTCGCTCCATTTTTGTATAGCACAACGAAATATATTCTCGAATATATTGCATAATGCCACTATATATGCGCTATGAGAGATTTTATATGATTACGTAAAAAACAAGACAGAAAGAAAGTGAAAGAGACGGGAAATCGAATTATAATAATATATAATATATATATATATATATTACGTATATATGATTTGCACTAATGCATATACATAGAATCTTATGTTATTTGATTATAAAGAAAGATAGTACACTATTTCTATATATTGTATTAACATATTCAATTTTCTCTTCCTTTCTCTTCCTAGATCTTTATCGATCAACACTTAATTCATAATTCATTATGAGAATTTTATAATTCAATTGCGTTAAAGAAGAGTGATACTTTTGTTTTAATCAAATTTTTTCCAATGAATTTAAGGCGATCTTTCCCATTGTTTCCCAACTTGCAGAAACGTATTAATCTGCATATCATCGCGCACGCATCGCGGTATAATTTTCAACCGCGCTATTCTCGCCAAGTGCAACATTATACGGCAAAGTAGTTAACGTTACGGGAAACTGAATCGTGACGGTGCAATTTCCCTCGCGTTTATATCCCCAGACGAGGAGAACAAAAAGCCTCGCACACGGAAAAATCGCGCTCACGTGAGGGGACCGGCAAAAGTAGCTAGATAAGTAGGTAGACCGCGCGCGCGAAAGTCGATGCACTTTTACGTTGCGCCGGTAGCGATGCATAAACGCGATCCTGTATCGAGGAAGTGCTCATAGTCAGGTAATGCGTAATCGCGGTTATTGCATTGCGAACAGCACTGCGCTGGACGATGATATTACGACACTGTTCGTGCATACGATTATACGAGCCTTCAGATCTTTGGTAGGAAAAGCTTTCAAAGCTTTACCGCGGTGCATAAAAGAAACAACGCGACGAGAGACGAGAGATAAATTAATGCATATATTCTTATAAAATACAAGACACTACTCTTCTGATTTTAGTCTTTGACTGATCTTTCTTCAAATCTTTCTTTTTTCTTGTGCTGATTTAATTACTGATTTTTGTGTGACAAATAATTAAAAAATTAAACTCTTTAATATTTTTATTAATAATAATCGTTCTTGACATCTTAAAATTATAATTTTATTTTAATTTCACAAGTATGTTTCCTTTTTATTATTTTGTAATATTGTTAAGTAAAGTAATTTTTTTATTGTATTAATCTCTGTACTGTATTTTTTCTCTATGTATATCTAGATCACTTGATAAGTACTCAAAGAAGGGTCGAAACGTTGTGATTTAATAAATAATATTTGCCAGTACGGTCGAGAGAACAGTTTTACTTTTTTAAACTAGAAAATTGTTGAAATTATTGTGATCTTTCTCCAAATCTTTTTTTTCTTGTGCTGATTTAATTACTGATTTTCGTGTGACAAATAATTAAAAAATTAATCTCTTTAATATTTTTATTAATAAATGCTTATTTTGTCTATTTTATGTAAATTATATTAAACTAGAAGATTGTTGAAATTATTATAATCTTTCTTCAAATCCTTTTTTTTCTTGTGCTGATTTAATTACTGATTTTTGTGTGACAAATAATTAAAAAATTAATCTTTTTAATATTTTTATTAATAAATGGTGTATGCTTATTTTTTTATTTTATGTAAATTATATTAAACTAGAAGAATTAAAAACGTAGATATTTGAGAATCGCTAGACAGAATTTAAAAAAGTAAAACGCTTCTCTCGACCGTACTGGCAAATATTATTTATTAAATTACAACGTTTGATCCTTCTTTGAGTCCTTACTTATTACTTAAATTGTTGATATTTT